AGATTTTTAGTGTAAATGTTCTTGTTAAAAACCAGCTGCTAGCAAAACTGATTATTTTTTCAGAAAACATGTACTTGTAGGTCACCTGATTATATTGCAAGTGAACATTCCAGTGGTTATTCTATCCAATTCACCACCTGTTTCACAGTTTACTTAGAACACTGATTTTGATTAGAAATGAAGGTCTCTTGATTTAATTTGCTCAATTGAATTTTCCATTCATAAAGTTGTATACAATCATTTTGAAAGATAGCACATGTACTGGTCCCTGAATCAGATATTCCATATATGGCAGGATTTATTTCCATTCAATTACTCAAGAGTCTGGGCTAATTAAAACACCAAAATGGTGGCAGATATTTCCAACTTACACAAAACAAGGCGAGACATCTTCCAGAAATAACAGAATCTTGAACAATAAAATTTTGAAATTTACTGTAAGAATTTGAGACATCTTTATTATGTATACCGGTACCTACAGTTAAGGCACCTTCATCAGGACAAATGTGGTATAATATTATAGAGAATGCATAATTAAACATTAAACAACCCATAACAGTCTAAATGTATGCAAGCTTCTAAAGGTTAATAACAACACATTAGATGGACTATATATTAAATCCATATACTGGTTTATTTTACAGTCATGTAATGGAGGCTGTATTAATGCTAAACATGTATACAGCTTGTATACAGCTCTCTGTACGATTTATACGATTTATACACCATAATGAAATCTTACAGATTCAAGTATATATATAGTCATCCAAGTTGGACTTGGACACTGAGTACATGTCGCTGTCAAAATGCAAGTTAAGAAACACCAACAGCACAAACAAAAATTGAAAAGATCAGTAAAAACATTCTCTCAGAAACAGGAAGCACATTATGATACATTTTTGCTCATAATTATTACGAAGTCACCAGCTCTGATTGCCACTATATAAAGTGACACAAACTTGACATCAACATGCAACTGACAATTGACAGAGGAGATCATTGCTCATGAACAATTATAAAGAAACGTCCATTGTATATTACTAACAACATGTTGTCTCCTATAATGCACTAAATTGGTTTTAATTCGAAAATATTTGTTAACCTCTCCCCCACCCCCCACCCCACCCACCCCTTCCACATGAATTGTTCATGAGGAGCATCAGAGGTTCTTTACTTGCACTGCTGTCAGGACTATTAAACATCTGGAGTTTGAAGTAAAACACATAAAAACACAGATCATGCAGTGATCATTCCATATAGAGAAAAATTACTGCCCTGAGGGCTACATCTAGAATATATAATGTCTTCATTGTGTAACTTTTATCAACTTGAGGGATTTAGCTGGCAGTAGCTATATCGTAGTCTGCTATCAAACTGCAATAACCAAAGGCCTGTTCCCAACAATGAGCAAGATCAAATGACATTATGCATATTCATATAGATATAATGATCCCTAAAATGCAGATTATGTACACCACACTAAAATAAGAATTAGATGACCAGACCAGAAACCTGGATTTATTATCAAACAAATGATTCTAGTTTGCTGATTGCTTGTTAAATTTGTATATCTTCTTTAACACCTTGATGCGTTCGTTTGTTTGTGCTTTACATCCTATTAACAGCTAGTCATTTAAGACCGGGCTGGGTTTTGGTGATGGTGGAGAAACATGTACACCGGAGTACCTGGAGAAAAAACAACGATCAGGGACAGAGATATCAGTCCTTTTACAGAGATGCTGTAGGTCTTGGCTAGATTTTACAGGTCAATGTTTTTTTGAGATGTCTGTTACCACAGGAGCTACATGTCAAGGTGGAGTCATCTGTCAAGCTATGATTAATCATGTCATCATTACATACAAAAAAAGTGATGTCCCTTGGGGCTTATCTGCCTTCCAGGCATTATGTCTTTTCATCTACTGACACAGTCCATCTGTCTTTATACACAGGCTGTTTGTAAGCGACTCATTAGATATAAGCAATGCCTTCAATATGAAAGTATGGTAAGCCTAGCCTCATTTACAATATGCTGGACTAGCTGTCACACCTGTCATGATAAGATGCTGACTATGAATAATGAACAGTGGTTATAGATACATAAACCATCTAGTTGCTTAAAACTGACTGACTGAGGAGGATTTCCATTCAGCTCTATCGATAAGAGTACTGGACTACTACAACATTCATTAGTTTGTAGTCTTGGGTTTGAATCAACTCCCCAAATAAAATTAATCTTAATGGTTCAAATTTGATTGGCTTTCAAACATCATAAAATAAATAAGAAAACTAGAACTGTTGCCGGAATGGCTGATTTACAACCCCTGCCTGCACCAAGAACTGTACAAATAGTTCGTTTGAGAACATTTTAAAACAAAAAAGGCATAACTCCCTAAACAGAGGAGGTTATTCCAATTTATATACTTTATTTATAATCTCTCAATGTGATTGCAAGTGTTACATGTGCATACAATGATGTACCAAGTATCATTCAAATCGTTGCAGTACTTTGGGAGCAGTAGTGTGAACAACTCTTTAAACAAAAGAGCATAGCTCCATAAGGAGTGGTAATACTAATGTATATACTTTATTGAGATCTCCTTGATGTAAGGGTTCTTTGTACCAAGTGTCATTTAAATTGGTGCAGTGCTTAGGGAGAAGCAGAGCGAACAATATTCTTAAACTAAGGGACATAACTACCACCACATACAGCCAGATCAAAATATTAATCGCAGGCGCACAAATCCAGAGTTTGTTGTTTTAACATCAGTGAAGCTTCAAGAAATTTGGCTGATAGCTGATGGAGGTCAGGACAACCTAATTCAACTATACACCCCACTAACTTAATTGCATGGAGTATAATAAAACATGGGTACTAGTTTATTGTTATTTTTTCTGAAACCAATCCAACAGCTTGGTCAATGTCTGCCAATATCTGTGTGATTTGATAGCTATATAGCTTATATACATTGTAAAAGGTTGTAGAAATAATTACTACCTGTGGAAGTTTTTTGTGTATGATTTGAGAAGTGTGAATGTATTTGTATTTCAGTTATGTTAATTAAGAAGGAGTTACATCCCTTTAATTTTTTTGTTTATAAAAGTAACAGAATCCGTTAATTTAGCCACTGCTGGAGAGAATTTATATAGGCTTTGCCTGTTATTCCATCCAATTGACTTGTATCAACTTTGTCAATAAAATTTGTTGAAATGAAAAAACAGCTTGGTACATATTCCAAGGATGCAAAGAAGATAATGTGTATCTTGAGCTGAACGATGCCTATACACATAGTATATTTCAATGAGTTGAGTTGCATTTTTTTGAGTGTTAGCACCACTGTATATATATATATATATATATTCTTCCAGTTATTAAAATGACCAGTTACACCTAATGAGTCACAGATAATACCGCAAGATGATGTCACGTCTTAGAACGTCAGAAAATGTATGAAAACAAAGAAAATGATTAATACAAAACAATTTTGAAAACCATGACAATTATCTGAACATGTTTGTTGAAAGTATACACACTAAGGTATGCCCGCCTGTTCATTCATGTTCAGGTGTATCTATAAGTATTTCAGGGCCTATTTAGTCAAAAAACACCTTTAAAATCGATACGATACTGAAAATATATGCCTCCTTATGAAACTGTACGTAAGTCGATAATGACATGACCTTATAATAATAATAATAATATACAATATTTATATAGCGCCCTATATAATTTACTCCAAGGCGATTTACAACATATTGATATTAGTAATGGTTATAATTGTGAAAACAAACAACAAAGGCTTGCAATCACTTTCATACATTTAACAAGCAATGTGCACATAATTGAACAAATAAAAGGGTGGTATTTACATGACGTCTTTGCAAAGATTCTAAAATGCAGACGTGAAAATGTGAGTTTTTATGTCCCTCTTGAACTTGGCCAGGGTATTTGACCTCCTGATAGCAGATGGTAAGCTATTCCACAACGTAGCCGAAACCCTCCCAAAGCATCTGTTTCCGTAGGTCACACGAGATTTTGGGACACACAACAAAAAGGGTAACAAGTTCCTGTAGGTACTGATGAGCTGTTCCATTCAGTGCCTTGTATGTGTATACCAGAAATTTGTACTGCGACCTGTATCATACAGGTAAACAGTGCAACGAATAAAGCGCAGGGGTGATGTGCTCTCTCTTTCGAGTACGAGTAACTAGCCATGCTGCAGTGTTCTGGACAACGGCTAGCTTATAAGCCAATGTCCAGTATGATATTTTTTTCTTTTGGGAAAGCTGATGATAAATATAGCTACAACCCAAATAGAGCAATATCTGGGCCTTTCAGTGAGAATTTAACCCACAGTGTCAGGGACGGGCAAACATTTTCTTACCTTAAAATTAAGCTTGTGTTGATGGTTCTCAACTTCCAATAACAGTCTCTCTGTGCATAAGGGTTCTCAGAATATTATTCTGATACAATATTTTGCATCTACTAACTTTGTTGTATATAGGAAATTGCAACAAATTGATAAGATTCAGGAAAGGGTGAAGATAATATATATTCTATCTCTATCCTAGTATGGTAACAATTAATACAAGTTCTCAATACTTTTAATATTTAACTGTTTACATTAACATATATTTCTTAATGCAGTACACCATTTACATTGTGACACGTCCAACCAGTCTGACCACTTGACCACATACTGGTCGATAACATTTCACAGATGTGACCAGCTGAATCTGGTCCTTAGCTTGCCTAAAATACCCATGTGATAGATTGTATAGCTACAAAGCTTTACTGTGCTAAGTTTCAAAATAGATTGTCCGCCACGGTTCGTCCCAAAAAACATATACACAGTACACCGTGAACCTAACGAGTACAGCTGACGTCTGAAGAGACGAATATGTGTAAACAGTCGAGTTACCAGAAGGGGAGCACTGGTCATATGTGTTAGCCCAGAGACGTCTCTGGTTAGCCTACATCTTCAATAAAAAGCGGTACTCACCTTCGGTGCCTCAGTGGTCGGAATCGCTCCATCGCTGAGCTGCAGTTTGAGACTGCCTTTGTTGACCCAGTATATGGATGAAAACATAAATATGGTCCCTACAACGGCGAGTAAGGTCCAACGCGCCCTCATGTCTGAGCCTACTGTTTCTGACGGCAGATTTTCACCGCACACTCTCGGTCTTATTCCACGCGAACATTCGTACGGGTTAGCACGTCTAGATTGTGATCACGAGGCGCCTACGGGGAAGTCTATGGTCATTGTATTTACTACTTGGTAGCCTTAATTTGATACTGAGAGGTAATAGGCCGGGGAACCCCACCGGGTATCAATAAATAGAAAGGATGTTAACTTCCACGAAATGAACGGAATGTGTCACATATATGTACATACATATACATGTGTGGCACGCGTGTTGTGATCCCCATTTCTACGAATCACAGGACCTCGTAATAATCCAAGCACAGGGACCTGACATGACCTATAATGTCAGAGGGATATTTTTAGTTAATTTTATGCAGAGACTTTATATATCTCAGTTTTTTTGCAATGAAACGTTGGACATATAGAACCTATGAATAGATACAGGTAATACCTGACATATAAAGCCATTGTAGTATTATACGTCTGTCATGTAGATCTACATGTACATACTATAGTATAATATTGACATACCACGGACTTAGATAATCTAATTCTGTGATCATATCGCGGACTTCGATAATATAATTCTGTGATCATACCGCGGACTTAGATAATCTAATTCTGTGATCATACCGCGGACTTAGAAAATCTAATTCTGTGATCATACCGCGGGCTTATATAATCTAATTCTGTGATCATACCACGGGCTTATATAATCTAATTCTGTGATCATACCGCGGACTTAGATAAACTAATTCTGTGATCATACCGCGAACTTAGATAATTTAATTCTGTGGTCATATCGCGGACTTAGATAATCTAATACTGTGATCATACTAAACGTATAGTATTGCCATACCATGGATAATATAATTCTGTGATCATATCGCGGACTTAGATAATCTAATTATGTGATCATACTAAACGTATAGTATTGACATACCACGGACTTAGATAATCTAATTCTGTGATCATATCGCGGACTTAGATAATCTAATTCTGTGATCATACTAAACGTATAGTATTGACATACCATGGACTTCGATAATCTAATTCTGTGATCATATCGCGGACTTCGATAATCTAATTCTGTGATCATACCACGGGCTTATATAATCTAATTCTGTGATCATACCGCGGACTTAGATAATCTAATTATGTGATCATAATAAACGTATAGTATTGACATACCACGGACTTAGATAATCTAATTCTGTGATCATATCGCGGACTTAGATAATCTAATTCTGTGATCATACCACGGGATTATATAATCTAATTCTGTGATCATACCGCGGACTTAGAAAATCTAATTCTGTGATCATACCGCGGACTTAGATAATCTAATTCTGTGATCATACCACGGGATTATATAATCTAATTCTGTGATCATACCGCGGACTTCGATAAACTAATTCTGTGATCATACCGCGAACTTAGATAATTTAATTCTGTGATCATACCACGGACTCAGATAATTTAATTCTGTGATCATACTAAACGTATAGTATTGACATACCATGGACTTCGATAATCTAATTCTGTGATCATATCGCGGACTTAGATAATCTAATTCTGTGATCATACCACGGGCTTATATAATCTAATTCTGTGATCATACCGCGGACTTCGATAATATAATTCTGTGATCATACCGCGGACTTAGAAAATCTAATTCTGTGATCATACCGCGGACTTAGATAATCTAATTATGTGATCATACTATACGTATAGTATTGACATACCACGGACTTAGATAATCTAATTCTGTGATCATATCGCGGACTTAGATAATCTTATTCTGTGATCATCCCACGGACTTCGATAATCTAATTCTGTAATCATACCACGCACTCAGATAATCTAATTCTGTGATCATACCGCGGACTTATATAATCCAATTATTTGATCATACTATACGCATAGTATTTTCATCTCCCTTCTTACAAAGCTACTCTATACTATAAAAAAATAATGTGGAGAGTTACACCAAAAATGGTGGCCGCTCTAGTGTAAACTTTCACTGGAAAAAATAATGTAATGTTACACTTAAATCGAAAGTGTAAAATTACACCTGATACGTTTAGTGCAATCTTACACCAATACACGTAGTGTAACATTACACCGTCATTTCTGAAGTGTTAGGATACACTTCACATAAAGAAGTAACATTACACCATGTAATGTAAGTGTAAACTTACACTGATGCATGTGTTGTAAAATTACACTCTGCGTCATGCTTTTCTGGTGGAGTGTTTGGATACCAGGAAAGATAACACCAAACATGGATGACAACTCAACTACCACCTGCATAAACAGTGATGATTCCATAACACAAGGCTGTATGGAACACTCCATACTTGAAAACATTCTCAAGCAAAAAGTTTGACATTCTGAAACCTTCAGCTGAATTACACCCAACATACATGTAAAACAATTCAATTTCGTCAACAAATTCTCAACTAATCGCTTGCTGAAGTTTGTTTGTCTATAGCCTACTTTAAAATAATCGTGGTTTCATCATCACTGGTAGGCTATTCCATGAACGTCATGGGCATTAAAGTCATAACAGAGTCAATCAAATATCACACTTGGTTCTTTTTGCTTGCGATTGTTCTATGGGCTGTGTCATTATTCAGCTTAATGTCCGATAACTCTGCACGGCACGCTTAACACGGGACAGAGAAAAGTTACTCTGCGATTTGCGAGACTAGCTTAAAAATGTTGAACAGCATTTAGTTAATGTGCGATAAGAAAAATAGTAGGCTTTTAAACACTAAGATACAAGGTAAATAAAGTAAATGGTCAAACTCGACCAATTTAAAAAGCCTAAAATACCCTGTGCATATGTCTATTTTAGCTTTTTACAACTTCAAACAAAGTAAGTGTATATATGCATTAGGTTTACTATATACAAGACTTGTTCGTTTTGCAGCAAAAGTACAATAAATGTCGCCTTTTTTTTTAAGTTTTTTTTTTTTTTTTTGCTATAAAATGGTAACGAAATATGGACTTCCTCGGGTAACTTGAAGGGATGAGAGATGCACTTGATGCAAAATGAGTGACAAATGTGCACTTTTTTTCAGACAATATTACGTACATGTAAATTTACACCACCTCAATACACAACATGAACTACATAATGTATCAAGTCAGAAATTTTAATAATTTTACACCAGTTCTTGTGTCATATGTTCTACGACACCGTTTTTAGTGTTAATTTTCACAGAAGTTAGAGTAAATAGAGTGTCAAACTTCAGACGTTTTTAACAGGGTGTAACTTTACACCATCTACACCATGAGCTATTAAGATTACACTAAAATCTCTCCCTGAACACAGAGTAACGTTACACAATTCAGAAACATCGTCATTTTACACTAATTCTTATGTATGATGTCTTCAGACACCCCTGTATTTTGTTATATCTATAATGGCTTCCAAAACCTTGTTCCTCGATCATGATATTACATCATTACGTAGTCTTGTTCTTAGCCATTTATGATTAGATGATTAAAACGAAACTTCAAATGACTCCAACTGTGGACTTTCAAAATTCAGAAAATGGGTTGATCATACATGTACAGACATGCAAAAGTCCGATATACTTCTAGAACAGAATCCTACTAATCCGGTCCCTTTACTTCTAGGACGGAATCTTACTTATCCGGTCCCCCTATTTCCAGGGCGGAATCTTACTTATCCGGTCCACCTATTTCCAGGGCGGAATCTTACTTATCCGGTCCCCCTATTTCCAGGACGGAATCTTACAAATCCGGTCCCCCTATTTCCAGGGCGAAATCTTACTTATCCGGTCCCCCTATTTCCAGGGCGGAATCTTACTTATCCGGTCCCCCTATTTCTAGGACGGAATCTTACTTATCTGGTCCCCCTATTTCCAGGGCGGAATATTACTTATCCGGTCCCCCTGTTTTCAGGGCGGAATCTTACTTATCCGGTCTCCCTATCTCCAGGGCGGAATCTTACTTATCCGGTCCCCCTATTCACAGGACGGAATCTTACTAATCCGGTTCCCCTATTTCCAGGGCGAAATCTTACTTATCTGGTCCCCCTAATTCCAAGGCGGAATCTTACTTATCCAGTTCCCCTATTTCCAGGGCGAAATCTTACTTATCTGGTCCCCCTATTTCCAGGGCGGAATCTTACTTATCCGGTCCCCCTATTTCCAGGGCGGAATCTTACTTATCCGGTATCCCTATTTCTAGGACGGAATCTTACTTATCCGGTCCCCCTATTTCCAGGGCGGAATCTTACTTATCCGGTCCCTCTTCTTCCAGGAAGGAATCTTACTTATCCGGTCCCTCTTCTTCCAGGAAGGAATCTTACTTATCCGGTCCCTCTTCATCCAGGACGGAATCGTACTTATCCGCTCCCTCTTCTTCCAGGACGGAATCTTAGTTATCCGGTCCCTCTTCATCCAGGACGGAATATTACTTATCCGGTTCCTCTTCTTCCAGAACGAAATCTTACTTATCCGGTCCCTCTTCTTCCAGGAAGGAATCTTACTTATCCGGTCCCTCTTCATCCAGGACGGAATCTTACTTATCCGGTTCCTCTTCTTCCAGAACGGAATCTTACTTATCCGGTCCCTCTTCTTCCAGGACGGAATCTTACTTATCCGGTCCCTCTTCATACAGGACGGAATCTTACTTATCCGGTCCCTCTTCTTCCAGGACGGACTCTCGTGGCAGTATTTCACTAGGACGCCCCGTGACTAATCTGGCCGTATGGTACGCCAAATTACCATTTTTTCAAATAATTGAAGACAGGTTCAATTCAATTGCAGATAGGTACAATTCAGTTGGAAATAGGTACAAATAATTGTACCTACCTTTAATTATTTGAAGATAGGTACATTTGGATTCAATTGAAGATAGCACTGCATGAAAAGATGCATTTACTTGACAATTATTTGTTATTTATTCGATAATTAGTTTTAAAGTTTAAGAAATAATTAACGTAAAAATGACATTTCTATTTCAAGAATAAATTACATATAAACCAATTTTAAATGTTTCAGGAAACTTCCGAGTTTACATGCATATAAACTTAAATTTAAATGTAATTAGACATGGAGTTTAGTTACTCATATAATTGCATTTATACACAATTAAACTTAAAAAGAAGTATAAATGCGCCTTTAAATACATTTAAATTTAATAGCTTGTATAATAGCATTTATACATTATTAAACTTGAAATGAAATATAATTTCACATTTGATTGCAATTAAATTTAAATGTGTATTTATACACAATTAAACTTGAGATTTAAATGCTGATATAAAAGCATTTATACACCATTAAAGTGCAATACAATTTAGGATTTAATTGTTTGTAAAATTGCATTGATGTGCTTTTTTTAAACTTGAAACATAAATTCATAATTGCATTGATATTACCCGATTTATTTTTTATTGGAACAGAATTTGTAATTTTACACATATCTGTTAGTTTACTGCTCACCTGATTGCAATGACACTACCATTTGTCAGTATAATGCAAACATATCACTGAAACTGCAATCTTCAATCCAATCAATGGAATTAATTTTCAGTGCTTCCACATAAATCTCTGCAACTCTGACAAACTCAAATAAGAAAAAAAAAACCAATTATTTCAAAGCCACATTTCTTTTATTTTAGTAGATATATGTAATAGTATATATATACATATAGAGATACATACATTGAGAAAAATAAATACTTATGTAGTCACACTATATATGAATCATAGTACTGTATTCAACCCAATAAGCGCCCATGTGTCTAAAAACACATCCAGCGGAGTCAGTCTAGCAAAATCTGAGTTTAAGTTTAAAACAGAATTTCAAGAAATGCTCAGAACCATGCACTGTACATTTGTACAGTTAAATTTAGCAAAATTGGTTCAGTATAATTTCAATTTAAGTTAAAACAAATTATGGAACCTGGACAAATTGATTGCAATACCTAACTCTAAACATGATCATATGAAATTCAAAGGAAACTTCAGAAAAATATTCCCATTTCAAAAGACAAAATCCGAGGATGTTTTATTCACTCCAAATATAAACTTATTTAAGAATGAAGATCTATATATTACAACTATAGGGCAAAAGTAAGTAACAATGAACTTTGAATTTAAAATAAAGGCCACCAACACAAGTTAAACTATGTTATTAGCATTATCACTATTGTGAAATATTTCTTTAAGTCCTTTAATTTCAAAAGAAATATTCCATAACATCACATGTTGCCATGCATTTTAATGTGTTATAGTTGGCCAAATTTGAATGTTTGAAAATGGAAATAATAAACACAAAAAGTAGAAAACTGTAGGAGTTGAACTCAAAGCCTACAATTAACCAATGATACAGGAATTGCGAAAGCACAGCATCAAAATAAGTGTCCAATTCATAGGCAGCAATGCTAATGAAATGCTTTTCAAGGGAAATCACTCTGCATTTTGTTGCATATCTTCTATAATAAAGCGAAAATACTCTAAGTCAAGTGACTCTGAGTGGAACTCCTATTTACAATTATAATGGATGCAGTGGTACCCTTTACCTTAAATTATACATTTGTTTTTCAATTTTGTTGCCAGAGCTCCTTTCATTCTTTTGACATAAAGTCTTTTTGACTTTGGTGTCTGTGCTGAATTTGCCTTCTTGTCAAGTTCATCTATAATTTTGGAATACTCCTCAGACCTCCAAGGATGGTCTTGACAAGAAAGCACGTACGTCTCGTCATCCGATTTGTTTTCTTCTTCCGATGACATCAATTCCATTATCAATGCCTCTTTCACTTTTGCTTACTTTTCCTCACTGTAGCCTTTTTTGGCATGGAGTGCATTCATTCTTGCCATGATGTCATTTTCTGTTTAGAAATAAAACAAGGTATACAGATTTTACAATAAAATGATGTTATTTTAAAACAAAATAATCTGGAAATGTAAACTATAATATTCCCACTCCATTGTGAAAATCAACAGATGGAATATTCATTACAGTTCACATAATTATATTATAATTATTAATGTGTAAATCGTAAGAGAATTTTCGTACAGTCAGGCAGACAATGTACACAGATTCCACTCTACCCATTAACTTTGTTTGACATTCAAAATAGTCTATTACAGCAATGAGTACCAAATAAAAAAAATTAGAATCATAATGGACTACTATATAATCTGAAAATAATTCTTTTAAAGACTCATTAACCAGAATTTTAGAAAGATCTAATGGTTTCAATACAGTTCATCAAGGCATCCATGTAGTAAGCTTGACTCGGTCACCTGGCCTTGTGACTTTTGGTCAGTTAAGTTAAATACTGATAGACAATGACAAAATTACCCTTTTCTTTCTGCTGTTTTGCATCGTCTTCTGTTTATGTAGGTCTGTTTTCCCCGTGCGTTTCTTATGTTCCCTTTGTCTAACCGACTCAAAAGTATCGTTCAATTGCAACTGAAATTTGAAACATACTGTATATTCATTCTGAGCATTTGAAAAAGGAACAATCAGAGACGTATATTGGTTTTATGTCTCTGGTTCAATTAATTGAATATGGACTCACAGGGGCATGGAAGCGATCCATGCCCCTGTGTATGGACTACCGTACGCGTTCAGACACCGACAGGGGACTGAAGCACTTCGAAAAGATGTATACGAAGTGTATTTATCCATTTATCATTTTATCCACACGATTTCAATAAAGATGCATAACAACAAAAAATAATGGGAAATAACAAAGTATAATCTATAATCTATGTTTCTGTTTCCATTTTTGAAGTACACTATAAAAATATCAATAGTTACAATGCAGATTGATCGAATGGTAATGCCGTCGGATGTTCACCGAGAATGCTGGTAGAAACCCGGCCAATAAAAAGTAGCTAATAAAATAAATTTATATAACGAATGCTTCGCCAAGATTGCCAGGGGCTAGCTACTGTAGATACTGACAGCATGAATCATACAATATCTCGAGAGTTGTGGTCTTTACCAACCATTTCTGACCAGACGTTTTGCATCATCAACTTGCTTCTATTTATCGTTAAATATAATTTAAGGATTTATGATATGGCGATACAACATTCATAGCACATAAAGAAAGTAAAACGAATTATCTCTAAAAACGATCTGTTTATAATCTGAGACGTATACTACATATACCGACTATGTCTCGGCGTTAAAAAAAAAGATTGCTGCGAAATGTATGTCCTTATTTAATTCTATGCACAATTGGATTTTGTTCTTCCGATCAAGGAATTAGCCGAGTCCGTGTTCCGATAAGATGAAATTTAATACAAAATACATATCTGCGAGGGTTAACTGGAATTCCAATAACTCATATCTGCTTGGAATTCATACAAGGATTAAAGAGTTATTTCCCTTGTACAGCTTAACAAAAAACTCATGACTAGCTTCATAATTCAACAAACACGAAAGTAAGTTGGTATTCCTTTATTCGTTATTGAAACATTCAATTATTATCAATAAATATATCACCTTCCAGGACAAACAAATCTATTCAAGGTACAATTTGTAGTTGTTTATGTACATATATACAATTATAACATGGCCAATACAGGGAACACAAATAAACATTAAATCAAATGCAATCATTAAAAACTGTGCAATACAAAATTTCATTGAATACTGTTTTTCAATATATAACACATTTACTACAGTTCAACATGGTAAACTTATTATTGAAATTCTCACAATGCTAAAGAGCATATCATTAATGCTTCTTTAGAGCTTGAACTTGAAAGTTAAAAAAAAGATTGTACTTTACTAAAGACTACAACTTCATCAGAGTCACTTAATCATTGAATACATTAATATAGTTTCTTTAAACCACATGCTTAATTTGTGAGTTTTGTCAATTATCTATATATAACATAACTCCCCTGGTCATAGGCTTGGACTCTTATTAAAAAATTTACACAAAAAAGGGAGTTACACAACCAAGTACTTATGGTGTCATCCATAAAATGCCCATTACAAAATGTACCACCTTAAAGATTTTTTAAACAATTGTTGAATGTGTTGTTTCAAGTTACTTTCTCAGCTGGCAGTGGTAAAATAATGATAAAACATGATACTGTGTTCACAAAATTATGGTTTTCCAAGAGGTCTTTCCATATTATACATGAATCTAAATAAGTTTACACCACAGAGACTTTCGATTGGTTCACACTGGCATACAAAATCCATCTTTTCAAAGAATCCCACAGCTTTTTCTGCACTTTGTACTCGTATAGGTCGGGCAGACTTTTCTGTCATTATCTTTAAAGCTTTGGATACTAAGCGGCGACCAATTCCTATTCCTTGGAAATCATATTTCACAAACATGAAAGTAACTTGATGAAAATATTCAGAAACAAAGGGAACTCCTGGTGATGTCAATTTTTCATTGGCGAGTTGAAAACTAATTTCACCAATGAGAGTCTCTTTGCCATGATGTTTTTGGTAAGCAAATAGGACCCGATTGTCTTCAGGTACGTCAAAAACTTCACCGCAGACCTCTCGTGCTATCTGTCTGAAACGATGTCTGTTCTTATTGTTTCTCACTTCTTCTTTTACATAATAGCGAGCATCTACAACAGAATTAACAACAATTATAATAGGCATTTGCAATTGATAACCAACTAAGGTCTACATACTTACAAACTATTTGAAATTTTCATGGGGGATATTTTGCATTCTCAAAATTAAAATATCAATTAAAAGTGTATATATACCACCAAAGAGACAAACAATTAAAATGACATATTTTGAGTTGTTCTTTCAGATGAAATCTTTATATCTATATCTATATCTATATAATCTTTAGAATATAGGAACAGTTTTGCAAATTCACTGGTTGAAGATACTAAATGTAATGGTCCAGAATCGGGAGCCTCTCTCCTAAACAGGGAGAGTTGGCAAGTAGATTTGTAGATCATATCTAACCCATAATACCAGTATATTTACATTTCATCACAAAATGTTCCAAATAATTAGCCATGGTTGAAATTCATACAGCTCATCTGATCTGTGTTATGTACAACACACTTCAATGAAATAACAAAATGAACCCCTTTAAAGATTCCTACCAGACCTAGGACAATTTCTTTTTCCAAATATAAACTGATCAAAAAGTAGGCCTGAAATGCCAAAATTTCGACTTCTGGACCTTGCCCCACAATTCAAAGAGCAGCTATACACTTTTCCTTTATGGTATATAATTGATTATATTGGCAAAAGAACCAAGGATACTTCATAACATGTGTAATAGGTAGAGACCATTAAATATGTATGTTATAAAGAACCTAATGCTAATTATATAAGGTCTTTGTTATGAATCGTCACCCTAGGAAGAACCTAATGCTAATTAAATTAGGTCTTTGTTATGAACCGTCACCCTAGGAAGAACCTAATGCTAATTAAATTAGGTCTTTGTTATGAACCGTCACCCTAGGAAGAACCTAATGCTAATTAAATTAGGTCTTTGTTATGAACCGTCACCCTAGGAAGAACCTAATGCTAATTAAATTAGGTCTTTGTTATGAACCGTCACCCTAGGAAGAACCTAATGCTAATTAAATTAGGTCTTTTGGAGCAGCGGTGGATCCAGAGGGTTTTTTTGGGCTTCAGGAACCCCCCTCCCCACCTTGGGAATTTTCTTTAAAAATCAGGTATGTTCACCATTTTCCTCAATTGTTCCCCATTTGGATCCCCAAATACTTTTTGAACGATGTATTGATGTGAACATGTTGTGCATATTTATATGACGGGAGAAGGCTATGATAAGTTGTTATAACTTTTATCCAATTGATTGTTTGAATTAAGTTGTCATTAAAAATACGTTTAAAGAAAAAAGGCAATGGTATCTACAGAAGATTTTTTTTTATCCCGAAACGATTTTTGACATGTCCCAAAACGACCCGACTTGTTACCGAAACGACCCGACACTCCAGCAGTTATTAAGAGTATTCACGTATTTAGTTAATGAGTGCAGCATTTTTTGTAGGACAAGAATTAATTAAAGAGTTGTTACCCTTAACCAATAATAGCCAATATGTCCTTTTAAACTGTACAATATATACCAGTTTTCTAAGAAGTTCACATTGACATAAAAAATGGTGTCGTCTTTACGGCGGGATATGCTTGCTTCAGATCATATCGCTTGAAATTGAAAACTGTCCATCACAGACAATGATCTAGGTTGCAAGGTATAGGCAGCTAAGCCGCGTCTCAACTAACTGATTAATTTCATCAAAATAGGACGGGCATTCTGAAAAGGCGAAATATTATTCAGGTGAACGGTTGACAGAGGACGAAAGACAATCACAATAGATCAGGTAACCAACAAGAGGCCCAAGGGCCTTAGCGGTCACCTGAGTTATATCATAGATACTGGTAGCTTTATTTTATTGTTTAGATGTGATGTGGAAATCAGCATGTAAACTAAGTGAAATACAATACTTGTCATGTCATCAATGGATAAGAATTTGAAAATATTGGTAAATGTTCCCTTTGGGGCCCCGCTCTAGCCCCTGGGGATGGGGCAGGAATCCTAATTTTACAAAGTAAAACTCTCATTTACCCAAGATGATTCTGACTAAGTTTGAGCAATTTTCTGCTGAAAATGTATAAAATATATACCGAAAAGTGTTATTTCCCTATATAAACTATATTAAACGTTAACCCCTCCCCAAGGGAGAACGGATAGCTCGGGGTCCTGATATTTTCAATTTAAATAAAGCCCCTGATGATCTTTCTTTCCACGTAAAGAAAATCACTGTAGTACCTCTGAGTCTGGAGAAGAAGATTTTTGAAATATTGATTAATTTTCCCTTTGGGGCCCCGCCCTGGCCCCAGGGGTCGGGGTAGGAATCTCAATTTTACAATTTGAAACCATCTACCTCCAAGGATAATTCTCACCAAGTAAAAATAATTTCCTACAGAAAGTTGTCAAAATATACCCAAAAGTGTTATTTCCCTATATAAACTATAGTAAACTTTACCCCCTCCCCAAGGGAGAACGGATAGCTCGGGGGTCCTGAAATTTACAATTTAAGTAAAGCCCCTGATGATCTTTCTTTCCACGTAGAGAAAATCACTGTAGTACCTCTGAGTCTGGAGAAGAAGATTTTTGAAATATTGGATAATTTTCCCTTTGGGGCCCCGCCCTGGCCCCAGGGGTTGGGGTAGGAATCCCAATTTTACAATTTTGAAGCCTCATCTACCAAGGATGATTCTGACCAAGTTTGAAAAAAATCCATCCACTGGTTCTTGAGAAGAAGTTGAAAATGTAAAAGTTTACGCACGACGCACGACGGACGACGACGGACGAAAAGCGATTGGAATAGGTCACTTGAGCAAAGCTCAGGTGACCTAATAAATCGTTGGGCTTTGCAAAACCTCAATAAACAATAAACTCTTACGCGACATTGCTAATATAAGCAGGTGCGTGGTGACAATTCCCGCCAATTTTAACGGAACTACTACTGTAATCTTCAAACCAAAGCGCTGTCTATATAAACGTTGTTTGAGATTAAGTAGTCATAACAACACCACAAAACTTCGCAATATTGATGACGTCTCAATTAATGAGCTCAACCTTTTTACCTTTCATATCATTCCGCCAAAATTAATTTGGTCATACTTGCAAAGAATTTAAACATTAGATGTAGGTTTTCAATGTATTTCTCATGTAAGGATTGAACAATATCCACATTTTGACCGTATATTTTGCATGTTACTTTTAAATTATGAATTTTACAAAAAGTACATACGAATCTTTCGGAGGAATTCTGGGTAGTAAAGTGGTTGTTTTTCAATGGTGGATTGCTTGATTTACGAACTGTAAATCCTGATGTTGTAGGAACATGAATTCAGAAATTGAACCCCACATAAGTAAAAAATATGAAATCAAAAAGAGATTGGGAAAAGGGGTAAGTTCGTGATACATGGAGGTAGTATTTGGTATACTTTTGATTACAATACCTTTGTTTCGGCGTCCTGTCATTCGAACAAAACAGTCAAAAATCGATGTGTCGGTGCTTGCATTTCTAAATACCCCATGCAGTTTATTCATTGTAATTTATGTATTGCGCTACTGAAAATCACACGAATTGCATAAGATACCTTTGTTGCATTTACATCATCTTCAATTTTTTTGTCTTTATCATTAGAAAGTACTGTTTCCAAAACTCCAGGTGATCTACGTGGGCGAATCAGATGAGTGTTAGCAATACAGAAAAACACTTCTTTATCATCGAAATTCGAAAACTTTGCTATTATCTGTCCTAACAGTGCAACGGTATTAGATATGCAGTAATTCAATTACCTATATGCTAGTCTTAATTAAGCTTTTGTTTTCAGTAAATATTTGTTGCAAGTGTTTGCTCCAGAAATGTATACAAAAAATGGCAAATTGCCAATAGAATAATCTAAATTGACCCAATCATACAGCAGTTCATATCATTCTATCATCAGGAAGCTTTTATTATTTGACGTCCGGTCATGTCATCTTTTAGGAGCTTCCCTAATTAGAGTAAGGAAAAAAACATGTTATTTACTTCAGCGTATATATATATTGATGAATATATATCGATGCTGTCTGGTGGCAGGCATATGAGCTGAGTTTTTCTCAGGGTTTGACATACATAATACCCACTTCTGGAGAAAACACTTAATGCACATATTGCGTTAAAAAATACTATAAATATTACCTTTGATTTTCACTTTATGGAAATGATGTTGCGTTTCCAGAAAAATGGGTGAGTTTTTAGAAATATCAGTGAAAATGCCCTGGTGAACATATTAAAACAGTAATGAGGGATTTGAAAAATGTATAAATTTGGCGTTTGTCACCCTCAGCTGTGTGGGGATTGTCTGGTCCAGATTTTGATATACCACACAGCTTAATTAAGGTGACAGTATCCAAAATGGATCACCAAGCCATTTTCTAAATAATTCATTGAAAATTCAGCAGATTAATTATATCACATTTTATGGTTTTATCAAACGAAGAATATGGATGGGTGTTCTTAAAACCATTGAAGTAAACACCCAGGGCTCACATGAGATATTTAAAAATGACTCTCACATCACCAATTAGTGTTTCCAGCTTTTTGCTTTTTCCAAAACAGATCATGGCTTGAATTTTGAGCTTAAAGTTAATCATCTCTAAACTTAATTACTTAACTGTCGATCCATTTATTGATTTACAGGTAATTTTGCATAGAGTGATCTGATTAGGGTACTGATCCAATTATTGTATGGATCATTGTATTGTATGTAATTGGTACTGTAAGGGTTACCCAAACTGTGGCTTAATTTGTAACTATACGTAAAGTACATGTATGAATAGTGTCTTCAGAGTCAAGGATTTACATATTTAGGGAAAGAATGGACGAGTTAAACAATTCTGGCCCATAGTGGTTTTTTTTTCCATTCTGTTAAAATTAACATTACTTGAAAGGATCATGTATCGGGAATATATGGCCATTAAGTCCAAATGTAAAGTAATTTTACAGTTAATATATTAACCCATAGTTGTCAGTAATTGGTTAGGCAACCATCTACATTCAATCAGAAAATATTTTATTTAATGTTGCATATTGCAAGCAAATTCAGGTAAATATTTTAAGAGGTATTTTAACTTTAAGTAAAATATAAGTCCATTTTTTACAATGTGATTGATACTTTCAGGCCTATGGGATTGTGTGGAAGGCTGTTGACCGGAGGACTGGGGAAGTGGTTGCTGTTAAGAAAATATTTGATGCTTTCAGAAACCAGACAGATGCTCAGGTTTTTATCATTTTATATCAATTACATTCAGTAAAACTCTATTTTTCTATGGTATTTTGTACCGATGATCTCAAAGTTTGCTGTCTTGTTTTAGTCACTTCTGCAGAAGTCAGCATCCTCTGTAATGGCCATAACTTTGTCTCTTACGGCAATATATACAGATGTGTCTTCTTGAACATTGAAATCAGAACTTCCGTATTCCTGTAATCCTATCTGCTATACAATTCTGATAACAGTCTGGAAGAGTGCTACAAAATAAACTTATTTTACAATACCAGGTATATACCATGACAAAATAGACATTTTCAAAGTACAGGATGTGACATTTTTGCATTGATAACCCTATACATGTACAATGCAATCTGGTCAATATGTACTTTACATATAAGTCAATTTTTGTACAGATTCCTAGTGGTAGTAAACACAATATAACAGAAAAAAACCATGGGTTAATAAGAACAATAAAACAAATATGTCTTTGTCTTTACTACATACTAATTTACTTCAATATGTCATCTAAATCTAATTGAAACGAGAGGTTCAGAATCCACTAGTTGACATTTAAAAAAATATCAAATCTTAACACGTACAGTAAGGTGTCTTAATCGGACAGCAAAATGGTCACAAGAAGAATATATTTACAAAGTTACAGGGACAAAAATTGAGCACAGCAAAAATATGTCATTTCACAATATTTGGGTCAAGGTCAAATGTCAGGTTAAATTTCAGATGTTTTTGTATCTTTACAGCGTACTTTCCGTGAGATAATGTTTCTCCAGGAATTTGGAGACCATCCTAATATCATCAAGCTGCACAATGTCATCAAAGCCGAGAATGACAAAGATATTTATCTAGTATTTGAATTTATGGGTAAGTTTCAAGATATTCAAGACATAATATAATATTCAATTTATGTGATAATTTTTACAATCAATATTTTAGAATTGTAAATAGATTTCCTTGTGTAACATATCTAATATTTCTGGTCAGGGATAGGGTCAAAGGTTAATCAAAATAGAAAAAGAAAAAAGATGAAATTGTTCCATAAAACCTCCATAAAATTCGTTGAATCTGTACCTAGCCATGGATAAATGAAAAGACAAGTAGACAGCTTGGTTCATTGTTGTTTATTGTCTTGACAGAAACTGACCTACATAATGTGATAAAGCGAGGAAGTATTCTGCGGGATGTACACAAACGTTACATCATGTACCAGCTGTTAAAGGCCACTAAATACCTTCACTCCGGCAACGTCATACACAGGGATAACAAGGTAGGCTCCGTGATGTTAATTCCTGATAAACCTTTTTTATACCCCACCATAAAGTGGTGCAGAGCAGGCATCCAGTGTTGAACCTTGCTTTTCGCGTTTTGGAAAATTATTAGAGACAAGTTCTACAATTAGGGGCACACAACTTCACATGCTTATCAGTGGAATATGTGGCATTACATTTTGGTGACCTTTGTTAAGGTTTAGCATTTAGGTCGGTTATGGATTAAGTACAGTATCTAGGGTCACACAGCTTCACTTGCTGCTGTCAGTGTGTCTTAGGCAGTTTTCATAATGATGTCATAGACCTCTACTATAAACAATGTGTAAACAAACATGAATTACTAATTTGTAATAGTGAGATACTGTACATCATTCCAAGAGCAAATCTAAGGCTAAAATAAGTTGAGTGTTTTACAAAATGCTTCATTGGTTGATTCTTGGTTTTTCTTTTACACAGAAAGTCTAACTCCCACAATTTCTGATTGTTATCTTTACATGCTATATTTGCTTGTTTTTTTCTTTACTTGCTGTTGGTTACAAACGGTCTCATTCCAGTCAACATTTGTTTCCTACTCAAACCCAGCATTAATACTTTACCAACAGTATGACAAGTTAACTACAGAAACACATTATCTGTTTGACATCTAAATGTGTGAAAACTTCTTACTTGGGAAAATGAAACAATGGGACACACCTTTGTTGCGTTCAGAGATGGCCATGTTTGGTTGTCTCTTAGTAGTTGAATTACCTCTCATGACAGAAAGCTGAAAGCTGAGAGGTTCAAGAAGAGTTTTACTACCAACACCATTTATGGGTCACTGGACCTGACAGGGAATATAGTTACATGCAGGTTACGACACCCAAATGCTACAGTAAGTTTATTCTCTAAATGTATTTGTCAGCATTTGATCTGGTCTGATTGGCAGAGTTCATAAAAGAGAGAGACACATTCCATTAGTTCACTTGTATATATGTAATGCGGTGTAGGCTTTGGAGAATGATAAACATATCTTTCTTATTCTTTTGTCAGCCATCAAACGTACTACTGGACAGCGACTGTGTGGTCAAGGTGTGTGACTTTGGATTGGCTCGTTCCCTCACACAGATAGGGATAGATGCTGAGACTGGGGACCCCAACCTTACGGAGTATGTGGCCACTCGCTGGTACAGGGCACCAGAGATTCTGCTAGCATCACACAGGTACAGTAGTTCTTACTCATTATATCTTCGATATAAATATCCATGTGTTAACAGGTGATGGCTGCTCACATTTCAGATGTCAAATAATTCATTTCTTTTTAAGTACAGACGGAATTTATAAATAGACATGTATGGTTTATGTAACTGAACCCGACATGCTGTAGGTCCCTTTTGACCGAAAAACAGGTATTGGTCTGACTTTGTACATGTATGAATTGGCTTTGTGGAAAATGTCTACATTTGTCAAAGCTGACGTGTGTAAACTATTATTTTTTGTTAAACTTAAGTAATAAAAACCCAGGGTAAAAATTGTCATAATTTTGACAAGGTGATTGTCAGTTTGTTTCTTTTTATCATGCTTTGTGATGTAGGTTAAATTGAAAAAAATCAGAGAGGTCTAAAACGTAGGTCAGTATAGTGTGGAATATAATGATGCAGGTGAAGAGATAATCTTACCTGCCAGACCAGTGTATTAAGAGGTCAGTAATATATGTTCATAACACCTATGTTTAGGACATTTATATGTATATTTTGTGGAAAACACTTACAATGCTAATTTGTTTTAAATATAACAGGTACACTAAGGGTGTGGATATGTGGAGTCTCGGCTGTATCCTTGGAGAATTATTAGGGGGCAAGCCTCTTTTCCCTGGCTCCTCAACTCTCAATCAGATAGAGAAAATTATGGGTGGCATCCCTGTACCAACTCGAGAAGGTAAGTTATAGAAAACAATGAGAAGGCATTCTGCCTGCCAACTCGGGAAGGTAAGATCAGCCCTCCACAAACTTGGGATGATAAGGAAAAGAAAACAAGAGGCATCTCTCTGCCATCTTGGGATGGTAAGATAGGGGAAATAGTTAAAAGCCCTCTGCAAACTCCAGAAGTAAATGAAGGTTTCCCTCAGCCAACTTCAGAAAATCTCATTGAGAATATAACGGGGGACATCCTCTTCTTCAACATGCTTTGAAAAGTAACATAGGGAAATTACGAGAGATATGAGGATCCTCTACTAGCTCATATAGGAAGAAAAGGGATCAGAGCTGATTACAAATCAATATATAGAATCTTTTTATCAACTTTTACTTCTGCCTGATTTCTGAGATCATGTATAAAGTGTAAGAAAAATAATAGGGATATTTGAAACAAAATGTTTTTGGTCTTGTATATCAATTGTAAATATTTTCAGTTGTTTGTTAACTGCATCATACCATTTTGTTATAGACATTGAAAGTTTACAATCGGCCTATGGTTCTTCAGTGTTAGGAAAAGCTTCTGTGAAGTAAGTATTTCTCAAACGGTATCTAGTATATCAGAGTACACTGCCTACCTTTAATCCACTTATTTTGCTATTCAAAAAGAAACCTTTGTTTGGCTGAAAACAGAACTATTTACAATGATGATATAAAAAAAAAACCTCATCTGGAAATATCCAGGAGACATTAAAAACAATTGCCCTCATAGATAAAATAAAAAATACTTCAGTTGGCATGATGAATTTTCATCCTTCATAATAGCATTATTTAATCTCAATGTTTCACTGTGTTTATTAAAGGGTTTCTGTGCATTGAGATTTCATCTTTCAAAAGAGAATTCCTTGAATATATCTTGTTGAACATTTGATTTAAACATGTTCCCATGACTGATGTTTATGACAAATTAATATTTCTCTCTGTCATTTTTTGTGTTGGTTCAAACTTTATTAAGCATTTCTAATGTGTTGAAATCCTTCTTGCAGGCCAAAGAAGAGTTTTGAAGACATGCTACCTGATGTTCCAAAAGAAGCTTTAGACTTATTACGACGACTTCTTCATTTTAACCCTGACAAACGTATAACTGCTGATGAAGGACTACGCCATCCTTATGTATCTAGGTAATGTTATACAAATGTGCAGTTGAAATATATAGGTACAGATCCTTGGACAGTATTCAACTTGTACAATACTTCCCCATATCTAGTATATGAAAATTGTTCCCCGAGGAAAAGCACACGTACCATGTTTGACCTAACAAGTGCCCTGAATGCTTTAATAGACATATTCTTCCAGAAAATAAGAATGAAAGCATTAAGTTAAGGTGAAGGCAATGGTTGCTTGAGTAAGACAAAGGAAAGGGGTGTTTATAAGTGATGGGAGGCCTATTAGGGTGAATGTGGTAACAGATTTCACTGCATTGTGTTTTAGTTTAACATGGTCAAAATGTTGGCTTTTTTTCTGTTAAAAAATTTGCAGGGTTTAAATATTTTATTGCAGGTTTCATAATCCGGCCGAAGAAAGAAGTATAGACTACGATGTGGTTCCACCACTTAGTGACGATGTACAGCTAACAGTCGACGAGTACAGAAACAAGTTATACGAGGTAGGTTCTCACTTCTCACAGATGGTGTTCAGTTAACTTTCATTTGAATTAAAAAAAAGGGTATGTGGTGAAGTAAAGCGGTAAGACATTATCAGTATTCTCTACTTTCTCCATTGCAATGTATGTGAAATGTCCTCCAATGAAAAATTTGCCCATTACTCATGTGGTTAATATTCACCCTAATTTGTTAACATTGCAATTTATCGTAGAAGTAAAGTCATAGCTATGTAAAGGAAGCTGCATACATCTAATTGATGATAGCGTTGCTTACACAGAATGTCTTATTAAAGAGGCCAATATCGCTTTTAAAGATATCAATATATCTTATACAGATGTCAATATCTCTTATACAGATGTCAATATCTCTTATAAAGATGTCAATATCTCTTTAAACATGTCAATATCTCTTATACAGAAGTCAATATCTCTTAGGCCAAATAAAATTAATTACTTGGTTCTCAGGCAATTTTTTTTCAAAATAGATGCGGCATGGCTTTTTTTTTTTTTTTTCATTTTACATGGCAAAAACGAGACAAGGGCGATTTTTTTTTATTGTGTAGTCTGTAAAACGTTCATTGTGGACATTACCTTGTCTTTTTATAGTTTTGTAGAGACCCATCATAGATCAAGCCTCCGAAAATCCCCCCACGATGTTCCAGACGAGAATCACGAACCCCCCGTTCCTTATTTGTACCGAAATGAGCGCCATTTGTACACAAGACTAATAAGTCATAATCATTTTAACGCTTGCCTGTATCTCAATCCTTACCTTTATTCAAACCTTTTTCGTGACTTGGGTGACTAACGAGTAAAAACGACATGCGGACCAATTTTCCGGAATTTTTTTAAGACGGCGGCTGGCGCATTCACAATTTTTTTTTATTACTTTCACGATAAAATCGGTAATGCGGTGCCCTAAAATGAAATGCGCGCGGGCCTGAGAACCAAGTAATCTTTTTTTTTTGGCCTTATAAAGATGTCAGTATCTCTTTAAAGGTGTCAATATCTCTTATAAAGATGTTAATATCTCTTTAAAGATGTCAATATCTCTTATAAAGAGGTCAATATCCCTTTTAAAGATGTCAATATCTCTTATAAAGAGGTCAATATCTCTTATAAAGATGTCAATATCTCTTATAAAGAGGTCAATATCCCTTTTAAAGATGTCAATATCTCTTATACAGATGTCAATATCTCTTATAAAGATGTCAATATCTCTTATAAGATGTCAGTATCTCTTATAAGATGTCAATATCTCTTATAAAGATTTCAATATCTCTTATAAAGATGTCAATATCTCTTATAAGATGTCAGTATCTCTTATAAAGATGTCAGTATCTCTTATAAGATGTCAGTATCTCTTATAAGATGTCAATATCTCTTATAAAGATGTCAATATCTCTTATACAGATGTCAATATCCCTTTTAAAGATGTCAATTCAGTATCTCTTATAAGATATATCTCTTATAAAGATGTCAATATCTCTTATAAGATGTCAGTATCTCTTATAAGATCTCAGTATCTATTATAAGATGTCAATATCTCTTATAAAGATTTCAATATCTCTTATAAAGATGTCATTATCTCTTACACAGATGTCAATATCACTTATAAGATGTCAATATCTCTTATAAAGATGTCAATATCTCTTATAAAGATGTCAATATCTCTTATACAAATGTCAGTTTCTCTTATAAGATGTCAGTATCTCTTATAAGATGTCAGTATCTCTTATAAGATGTCAATATCTCTTATAAAGATGTCATTATCTCTTACACAGATGTCAATATCACTTTTATAGATGTCAATATCTCTTAAATACAGAATAAAATTGTTTCATATAAATAAGTTTTACACTAAATATGTTGATATTTCCCCTGCAGAATATGTCAATACCAATATGTGATTTACTGACAGGTCAAGTTCGATTTACCTGACTAAGAAATGTATTTGAACCCCAGACTTAAGGTTATTTGATGGAATTGAAAAATATGAACAAGAATTGAACAAATTTGTGATTTACAGATGATTATGCAAAAGAAACAGGAGCGCCGCAGACGCCGCCAAGAAATGAGGAGTGCCCCTCATCCCATGCGTGTACGCACAGAGAGCCCCCACCCTCCCAGTGAACCATACCACAAAGACAACTCTCCAAAAGGGGCGTCGCCCAAAGTCTACAACAACAAACATGCAGGAGACGGCCCTCCACAATCGGCCCCTCAACACCATTCATCATTTTCAGGTGAGGACAGGTCACATGTAATGTTCATATGACATGTCAAATGATCAAATCCTGTTGATGGGATTACAAGATTACTATGCAGCCTGTTTTGATATTGCCTAGGTCTGAAGCATGACTGCTGAGTTATATCAATATCTGTTTCATTTTAAGCTCACTTGGTATAATTAGCTTGGTAATTAGCATATTTGATATTGAAATGTCCTTATATCATTTTGTGGTTAAAATTCTTGGCTGGTAATTCCACCAGCTCTATACCAAGATCCCAATATAAAGTTCTAGACCTTTTCATATTCTAGAAGACATCAGTGAATAAGTCAAGATAAGTATTGACCAAAGTGATGTCTTATTCACATTGTGTGAAATTCTTGGTTTTCATGATTACTTAAAATTAAAGAGCTATGTTTAAAGTCATCAGGTTATGTAAACGGTTGGCAATTTTCCTAATTATATCAAGGCTTGTGATGAAAAGATTCATTAATATCTATCAAATTTGTACAAACTTTTGTTTTCTACTAGAGGGTGATACCCAAATACAGGGGCAAATAATTCCATTAGCTTGATTCCCAGGGCAAGCAGACTTTTGTCTAGACTAGTAAAACTGTTCAATATTTACTTAAAAAGTAAAACTCAGGCTAGTGGATTTTTCGAAAAATCTGCCTGCAGACTGTTATTCAGTTGAAATAATTAATTGTACATCCCTGAAATTAATGTGGGGGTGTTGGAGGTGAAGGACATTATGTTTCAGTACACAGCCATGTAGACTAAAGTCTTCCTCAGTTGAAGGGTATCATGAGCAAAATTAAGTATTCATTGTTTTTGTATTTTAGCATTTGGAAGAACAACACATGGAGATCAAGTGCCTCCACAACCAAAGTCAAGAAATGTACGCCGACCAAACAATGAGAACATGGAGAGAGCTGCAACAAACGCTGGTGTAAGTGTTATCATCTTACTCTGACTGTAGCCAAGGCTGTCGCTGGTGTAAGTGTTATCATCTTACTCTGACTGTAGCCAATTAAGTCTGTCGCTGGTGTAAGTGTTATCATCTTACTCTGACTGTAGCCAAGTCTGTCATGCACTTTCTCAATTCTCAACCAGGCTGTGCCCACTTTCTCGTCTTACCATTATCCCAGTATCTCAATCCAAATCATCACTGTTGTAGCATATGGCCATTTCATGATCTCCAGACACCTAATTATAGCCCCTTATTTCCCTTGACTTCAGACTTTAACTTCAAATTTCGCTTAGATTCGAAGTCTTTAGGCTTTTGACTTTAAGTCAATGGCCTCCCAGATCCCGATTTTCAGCCTGGCAGTGGTATGGCATCTTGCATTCACAGACCTAGTCTGCTAGCCTTACACTCTCTGAAATGCCTCCCATACTTTTACTTTTCTTGTGAGTGGCTTGTCAGTAAACCTTATCAACATCAAATCTCTTCACCTGTTTTTAATCTCAAATTCATCCTCTCAACACAATGTCTTTTGATTTATTGAACCTAAACACAGTTATGGTTGTGGCACACAATACTCACACTATTATAACATTTCATAGAGATTTGGTGAAATATAAACAGATCTACATAAATCTGCTTTGTAGTACCCTCACAAGCTCATGTATCATTTCATGCACTTATGGGTCAAGTAACAGAAGCGAGTTGTATGTGTGGCAGGCTGGCAGGCTGGCAGCCTAATGCTTTGCTGTTTGCACGAGGTACAAATGTGGCTTCTATACAGCATTTAGTATGCAAAACTTAAAAACACCAAATGGATCCAGTGAGATTTTCGTTTTCTAGTTAGAAGCTTAAAGAAACCTCAACTTATAGATTGACAGTTAAGATCATGTTGTTATGAATAAAGAATTAATCGTTTATGGCAATGTTTACTCTTAATTTTGTGATCTGACTTCTCCAAATTTGTTCATTGGTTAGTGTTTCACTTTGCATATTCCCATATATCATACAAAATAATCCTAAGCTTCATTTTTTTCACCATTTGGTCAAAATTCCTTGCAATTTAAAAGTAAAACTACTGACCCAACAATTTCTGAACAAAGAATTCATGTAAATTCCATAGTATTTTTTCCTTTATTTTTTTTTTGAATTAACACTGAGCATGCATGCAAAATAGAGAGTGTGCACTAAATGGGACAAATAGTAATATATTTTGTAGCATGTTAGGCACTAGACATAGTAAGCTCAGTCAAAATTAGCCAAAAGTCATACACAATTGACTAACAGAAACACAAATTTACACATATCAGTTTTCAGAATTCAGAAAGGTCTGTTTTGAACATTCTGAGATAATTTGACTTAACAAAAATATTACTGTTATACTTAAATGCATATAAAGATGTCAACACAACATTGAACTTCATGTTAGGTGACACATGCATTCAGCTGTTAAAGAGTTCCTTTTGAGTCAACCTGAAGCCAAATGGGTGTTAGATTGGCCTGGGTAAACTTGAAGCTTAGGTGTTAAGTTAACCTTGATAATGGGGATGCTTACTAAATGTTAAGTTTACTGGGGTCTGTGATGGTCGCAGTTGAATTAATCTGGATCACTTTAATTTTAAGCTTACTATGTGTTGAATTTTCCTGGATAACATTGAAGCCCACAAGGCATTGGGTTAATATCATTTTGAAGCTTAAGATGTGTTGAGTTTATCTGGTTCACCTTGAAACTTACTAGATGTTGAATTTAAATCTAGTTCACTTGGATGATTACTAGGTATTGAATTTACCTCTAGGTAACCTTAAAGCTTACACAGTGTTAAGTTTCCCTGGGTTTTCTAAAAGCTTACAATAGCCATGAATAGCTAGGTTTGTTATTTACCTTGGTCACTTATGAAGCTTACAAGGTATTGAATTTGTTTAGATGGAGATGTTTGAAGTCTTCCTCAAATCTCAAAACCCCAAAGTTCAGATGAATCAGTTTCTTTATGGCCGTAATATGCCCAAGGTGAGTGAGAGGCTTGGCAGTGATGCTGTGTATGTCTTATTACTAAATGTACTTACTGGTAGTCTGTGTCAGACAGTGACTTAAATGTTGTCCTCTATATAATGTATCTAAAAGAAATTCAGTGTTAGATTTATAACACAAAGTTTTAATATCCTTACTACTACAAATGTATCAGGTTTTTGTGCTGTGAATGGTATTGCTGGCATTGCTTAAGTGATCAAGGAGGCTGCTAATCACATTTTTTTGGATGCCAGATCTTGGAAAATTTAGGTGATACTCCATACGCCAAGGTGTAGTATTCAGTACGCCACGTTGGCGGTAAAATTGAGTTATCTGAACTTAGAGAGTATTCCAAAACTCAGAAGCAATGGCAGGGGTAATAATTTTACATTTTGAGTACTTATCCACAAATTTTGTTAAAAAGCTTTACAAGCCCAGCCTATGTTTTCATTATAATTATTAAAAATATTCACTAGCCCTGACATACAATTAACTTGCTTTTGAGAAGTCAGATTTTACTATCTCGCTGGGGATCAGGGTTGGCAGCCTCATCAAATATTTGACATTTAACTTAACCAGTGTGTGCATATAAGACATAACATGGACTATCCTACCATCCTGTACATGTGTAGCCTTGACTATGCTAGGTAATAGCTATAGAATAATGTCATTACATGTTACCAACCTGTACATGTGTAGCCTTGACTATCCTAGGTAATAGCTATAGAATCATGTCATTACATGTTACCAACTTGTACATGTGTAGCCTTGACAGTATGCTAGATAATAGCTATAAAATAATGTCATTACATGTTAATAGCTATAGAATAATATCATTACATGGTACCAACCTGTTCATGTGTAGCCTTGACTATGCTAGCTAATAGCTTTAGAATAATGTCATTACATGGTACCAACCTGTACATGTGTAGCCTTGACTGTATGCTAGCTCATAGCTATAGTTTAAGGTCATGACAAGTTACCAACCTGTACATGTGTAGCCTTGACTGTATGCTAGCTAATAGCTATAGAATAATGTCATTACGGTAAACCTCCGGTCAGTTCGAATCGGCGGATAGTTCGAAACCGTATTTTTTTCAATAAAAACAATAATTTTCTAGCTAGTGATAGTTCAAACTCTGATTGACCCTATTTCGGATAGTCCGAACTTGTCAAATGAAGAACGTACATTTAAAGTAAGTTTTTTTTTCGGCAAACTCCATTGAAAGCTTGCGGCGATCGGCCCCAGAAAAATGCCAATACTTTGATCAACAGACACGTTGAGGGTAATGGGTTGTATGTGTGAGCATTGCAGTACAGCTGTGACAGACAAACCATAAATATATGTCACAGATTTTAGCGTTGATTTATTTTTTTACATTGTTTGAAAATACATCGTGCACGAGACAGCCAATAGCAACTTAGGCCCCGACAATGTATAAATAACATGCGATCAGTACGAACTGATGTCACGCTGTATGGCAAACTAAGAAATCGCCCGTGTATTCACAAATACAGTGTTAACTAAGCATTTTGATTATTTAATTGCGACCAGACATCCCTTAATTATTGCCAATCAAGGTGTTACCTTTAACGTGGGCCCTCACACCAGGTAGCTAGGGCAGGACACGATGTCGCGGTAGGGATCGTCCGCCCAGCCATTGTGAGTGACGTGTTAGCATTCATGTCCAAGTCCAAACAATCCACAGGTGTCCCAATTAGCGTTGGGTAATTTTGAAAGTTTCAACTAAGTTTGGTAGGTATCAGGACACAAGCTAGGTAGTCTAACTTTTGTGTCACAAATGAAACGTGTACTGACTGTTTAGGGGCCTTTACAATGGCCTCTGCTTCGCAATAACAATAATAATTATCACGAAATGAAGAAAGTTTAATGATCAATTAACATTGAATTAAATAATATACTATCATTTTACCCATTTATAAATGTGCCATTGTTCTATGCCAGGCCGTCGTTGTTACGTATCGTCCTTACATTGGATATATAGAGGTATACTCCGGTGAAGAAAATATGTCGGGGATATGTTTGTGACTTGATTTACACTTTGCTGAAATTTTTGCCGATAGTTCAAACTCACGCTTAATTTCTGAAGCATAATTTTGTATAATCCGAACAGGGTCATCAATATTTATTTAATTTTGTTCGAACTGACCGAAGGTTTACCGTACATGGTACCAACCTGTACATGTGTAGCCTTGACTGTATGCTAGCTAATAGCTATAGAATAATGTCATTACATGGTACCAACCTGTACATGTGTAGCCTTGACTATGCTAGCTATAGAATAATGTCATTACATGTTACCAACCTGTACATGTGTAGCCTTGACTATGCTAGCTAATAGCTATAGAATAATGTCATTACATGGTACCAACCTGTAGATAGGTATATACCCCTATGACATATACATGCTCAACCTGTAGTCTAGTATATACTTTTGTGTAGGATTTGTATTCGTAAAGTACTTTACAGAGACCAAGCTTTACAAATTATTGAGTCCGAGTTGACAAGGTTTCTCTTTTGGAAATTGTCAAATTTCAGATTGATAATTTTGCTTTAGAAATTGTTTACAGTCCATACTAATGAAGTTCCTGACTTTACAGTTTTCCAGAGATTGCCAGAATCTAAGCAAGGTTCTTGGAGAACTAGATCTAGCTCTAGAATTTAGTCATTTTATTATCAGTTTCCGACTAATCATCTAATGCTTTCATTGCTGTGTTATATGTAGTTGCTGCTGAATTTACAAATGACTAGAATTTTTACAACTTATAACAAAAGGGAGATAACTTTGCTTGTACTTCTTATTTTGCTTTTTATGTACATATATAATAAAGAATGAACCTGACAGAATTTTGTGCTTTTCTGTGAAAATTAATCGCTTGGTAATTTGTTATCCTTTATTATCATGAAGCTCTGGGATTTCAGGACATCCACCATGCTACAATTGTTTAACTAACACAAGTGGACAATTTTTAACCTCTAATAGATATAATATTTAGAGGTTAAAAATATCACTAATCAAACAGAAAAACCTTCATTTTCTCAAAATTGTTTTCATCACATCACCAAAACTCATATAAACAATATGGTTCTTCAGACCTCATGGTATAAGTAGACTGAACAGACTATGGAAAGACACAATCTATTGGTCTACCACCAACTTCGAATAATGTATAAATATGACTTTAAAATTGTCTAACAGAGAGAGAGAGAAAAAATACGTATTTCATGAGATTAACAACAAAAAAATAAGCAAAAAAGAAGGATAATCTGATTTTACAATCTTTAATTGATCACTGGTCTAGTGGTTTATGTCATGGAGTTTATAAACTAACTTATTAGTCGGTCTGCCTCTGATTTTTCTTTCCTTGCAAAGGTCTTTGTCCCTTCAGCATCTTCTGTAACTTGTTGACTATGAATGTTGTCACTGAAGAACAAGTCTATGCTGACTTCTACTTTGACATCATTATTGTCACTAGGTAGAGTACAATAGCAGTAGCACAGTTATATTGAGTAGATTCAATCATTACAGAAACCACATAAAAAAAATAAAAATTATTTCTGCTAAATTGTTTTTTTATGTAACAAGGCTTTAGTTTACATAAGAGTTTAATATTGTATTCCTATTTATGTGTGAGTGAGAATTCCAATCTTGACCTACATATTATTTATTTCTGTCCAGATGTACTTATTGAAGTTTATTCCAAACTAATGAATTTCTTGTTTTACTGATTCAAATCAAGTTTGCTTTGACTGAAATTAACAGTTTCTGGAGATTTATCAGTATTCATGGAGATTTGATTGAATATTGACAAACCATTGCTGTCAGGATTTTTTTTTTAATTCCAGTCATTGTACTTCTTACATTAACTTTTCATGAATTTGGAAAAATAATTCTCTTCTACTTGAAAATGTGAATTGACTCCAAGATGTTGTTGCTGCAATTTATAATATTATCTAAATTTGCTGCTTAGCATTTGTACTATTGTGATTTTTTTATCTATTCTATTTCATAGATGTTATCTTGATTTGTTTTATTGATATGTATTTACTTATATAAGCAAATTTGTCTTTACAGATGGCACATGATCCCTATCCAGCTATGTCTAAGAACAGACAAGCCTCAGCCCCCGCCGCCTCACGGATGGGCAGTCGACCCATATCTGGTGCCTATGGTGTAAAGAATCCTACCATCACAAGGGATGAAAAATCGTCAGGTCTAGCAGTTACTAGCTCACGAATGGTAAGTTTCACTCCTCACTCCCTTGTTTGTCACAAATATGTGGGATATTAAAAGCACTAGCCTAGTACTAGATTTTCCTTAACTTTAATTGTCTGCTTAGATATGAATTTGTTCAAAGTTGTAGAGAAATTCAGGAACATTATTTAAATATTAAGGTAAGTTAAACAATTTGTGGAACTGGGGCCTGTTATAATTTACCTAGTTTCAGCAAGGATTTAAAAAAGAGATTGTGAAAATTTAGGGAAATATCTTTTATATAAATACATATTAACTTGATGACTTCAACCACACTTACATGTACGTACATTTAATTTTGCTTTGTTGTGAGTAGTTTTACCTGTTTGGATTTAACAACAGATATTTAAATGATTTTTTTTTTATTTCTAGAGATAACAAAATTAACCTTTTCATATCATTAATATATTCTCTATACACATACACTGTATATAACATATATAGCCAGATTTTGTTTCGTTTCAAATCAGTTACATTCCTTATTTGCCTCATTTGAAATACAGTGGATTTCACCAGTTATCAAGGATCCCCTTACCATTGCCAAAAACTGTAAATAAGTGTTGGAAACTGATTTTTGGCCTAACTGTAGCTTTGAGAAATTATTTCTGAAAAGAAAACCATACCTTGCAAAATTTGTATTAGAAAAAAGAAATTAACAAATGATAACCAACAACAGTGTTCTGTGTGTAAAAACTCCAGTAAAACTACTTGTATGCAGTGTTTTGAAACTTTGGCTTCATATTGGTATACTTATTAATTTCTCTAACCTATTGAGCAATCCAGTCAACAGAAGTTTTCTAGTCTAAACGACTACAGTTACCTCCTAACAGAAGTTAAGGGGAGGTAACAGTATATAGGTAAAACACAGTGCAGTGGGACGGGATCCTAAGTGAACTTAATGTGTTGTGGTGGTGCCTGTTCTACCCTATCACTCTGTCCATATTATATCAACATTTCATCAACTTGGGCTGTCCATGTTATATCAACATTTCATCAACTTGGGCTGTCCATGTTATATCAACATTTCATCAACTTGGGCTGTCAATATTATATCAACATTTCATCAAATTGGGCTGTCCATGTTATATCAACATTTCATCAAATTTGGCTGTCCATATTATATCAACATTTCATCAACTTGGGCTTCTTCTGAAAGAAAGCATTTCTACTCATCAAAAACAAGGCTAAGAAATTCTACTGTGTAATGGCTAATAATGAGCTCTTCTCAAGAAGCATTGCTGATTAAAATCACAGAAAAAATGGCTATCAACTTTAAGTATTATTCATTAGTGTTACTTAGGTCACATACATGCATTTATATGGAATTATAGACTGTAAAGCATTACTGAACAAACGTTCAGTAGTATATTCTTTTGGTTAAGAGTTATTTCTCTATTTGCAATCATTTTGTACAATGGTACTACAGAATTAGGTTCTTGTTGAATAATTAAAATAATGCATGCGAATACTGATGTCAGAATTCATCATTTATCATTTCCACTAACTTAATAAAAACAAAAAGACAGCTTAAACTTGAGAATTAGGTGTTAAAGATCAGAAGTAATTCTTCAAATTGTATTGATGTATTTTTTCACTGTGTCTATCAGGTCAAATTACAATTTACATAACAGGGTTATCCGCATTTTTCCAATATTTGAAAACGAAATCCTTTATGGAATGATGAATTACCCAAGCTTCCTTATTTTTCTATGTGACCCTGTATGTATGCTGTGTTTCATAGATGGAATGGATATAATCATAATAATCCCCTGCATCCCCGACACTCCCCTACCCCTGCATCTCCGACACTCCCCTACCCCGGCATCCCCGACACTCCCCTACCCCGGCATCCCCGACACTCCCCTACCCCGGCATCCCCGACACTCCCCTACCCCGGCATCCCCGACACTCCCCTACCCCGGCATCCCCGCCCCTCCCCTACCCCGGCAACCCTTTCCCACCATCCCCGACACTCCCGTACCCCGGCAACCCTTTCACCCCATCCCCGACACTCCCGTACCCCGGCAACCCTTTCACACCATCCCCGACACTCTCCTACCCCAGCAACCCTTTCACACCATCCCCGACACTCCCCTACCCCGACAACCCTTTCACACCATCCCCGACACTCCCGTACCCCGGCAACCCTTTCACACCATCCCTGACACTCTCCTACCCCGGCAACCCTTTCACACCATCTGCACCACAACTTGATTTTTCCTGAAAACCCAATTACAATATACCATTGTCTGACCATATACTTAAAATTACACCATGAAGGTTTTTTTAATTTTGTTTTTCTAATCAACAAATTTTCTTTGTATTTATTTCTTTGTCTGCAATATTTATACTATTTCACAGAATGAGTCATTTGATTGAAATTCTTTTGGGTGCCCAGCTATTTTCTGACTTTCACTGCCTGTTATACTGGGATTGAGGTTGCACTGACACTTTAAAACTGAAAAATGAGATCTGGTACTATTCCACTGTATTTCAAATGTCAGCTGGAGGGTGGAAACAAACAACGTTGTTGTTTTGGATTTCGCCTTATATGTTTGTGTACTTTTCACTTGTCCTAGTTGGGGATTGACCGATTGCTTTCTTGTGCAATGGACCCCCTTCCTCCGATAAAGTCTCACTTCCATGAGTACCACGAACCTTTTGATGACTGCTCTGTAAGTGATGGGGTTGAAATAGCATTACTGGCTCCTAACCAATCAACAAGCGCACCAGAATCTTTGTATTTTTTTAGCCTCACTACCTAAATTTTATAGATCAACCATACACAATCATTAAGTCAAATGACTAAAAATTCAGCATTTATGATAGAACATTTACTTTTTGTTTTAAAAAATTAACCATTTTGGAAAAAATCAAAGATATCAACAGGATATGTTTTCTTTGGCTTTTTGATTTCGAAAAACTTGCTATAATGCTTGCACTGTTTGTGTGAGATAAAAAAAAAATGAAAACAATCTTGTAATGGTACACTGTTTTTTGGTCAATCTGATAAAGTGTTACTCTGCATTCATGTATGGCTTCTTACAATGACATCACTATAGCATGTTTGTCAAATTTTGGTGTTATTTTTTCCACAGAATTGGATTTGATATTATCATCAGTTCGCTCATTACGGTCTTGGTGGGGATTAGCTAACTGATCATGACTGCCAATTCTTCTAGTCTAATTTGATGATAATACAAAAAGTTTTAATGCATTTATTTTTCTGCTGCAACTGTTGTGAGCAAAAAGACTTAAATTTTGTGGGGGATTTTGGATGGAGCTTGTAGGGTCCATTGCTTTGTCAGTACTTCTGATGGTTCTAACACTCTGGTATTCCCTAACACATTAACGTGAACTGACCAGTACTAAGTAGTGGACAGCATGCTGCTGTGGTTCTTATGTGGTGTTTTGCCTGTGGAGACAGATTGTGACTGACCACTGTCCAGCCACGATTTTAACATGCTGTAGTGATCGAGTGTGCGAACTATTACTTAATCTGGCTGTTTCTCATTAAGGCTAACTCTTACTTGAGCTCTACATTTTAATAATAAGGCTGTCATGGTTAGAAAATTACTTTATATTATCAGTTTAACTGAATGTATCATGTAAGTTGTGCTCAGTGAAGTAAGGTATCAATATTCCGTCTTTTTGTATTGCAGAGTTATCTGCTCTTGAGAGCAGTCACCTGAGACAAAGTATAAGATTCTGTTCTGCGACCATTAATCAGGTTGTCCCATTATATATCCAGTCAGTGTTTAAGGGATACATTGACATCTACCTGTACAAAATGGCCCTTTAATCCAGCAACTTTTAACTTTTGGTGGGAATGAACATGACTTGATTATTGTGAGTCAACTGTACATATGAACTCTAGGCCCATTTAAAAGCCTGTTTCACCTACCAGCCAGTAAATGCAGAACTCAATATTAGTTTATTTACTAGAATATTAAAAAGAAACTAAAGGGACATATATAGGATGTACAAACTTTGACAGCCATATATCATTCCTACCTCGTTTTCTCTGATGTTCCTCTATATGCTTAGTGATACACTTGTACACAGACTACTAATATCTCACCTTTCTTTTAGACTTAATGAAGGCACAACACAAATTGTATCTGTAGTTCTGAAATAGAATATAGCATTGGTAGTTTGTGACTTCTACACAGTTGCATGCATGCATTTTAATTTAGTACAAATGTACTGTTACTTTCTTGTGTTTTGTGCGGGGTAGCCACAGGTTCATTTCAGCATTTCAGTATCCTGATTTGAGTCATCAAGTGCTACCTTAGACCCGAATTGTGGGAAAATTGGGTCGCGCATTAGAATCCCATCTTTTAAAATATGGTGTAAATGTATGTCAAATCAACACTAACATCCAGATTACCCAAATATGACAATTACTCTTGGAGAAATATTTTGTGCTGTGAAAAGTCATTATGTATTCTTAGAGATCTTCATAGCTTATACAGCTTTTGTGTATAGCTGCAGTTACAACAGCTCATCGACCTTCTTTTGTAGTGACGGGTTTGCATTTCACAGCTTTTTAGGTCACCTATTGCGATCGCCTTTTGACCGCCATCGTGCGTCCGTTAACAATTTACAATTTCGATTTCTTCTACAAATCCCCTGGACGAATTTCAATGAAATTTTGCAGAAACCTTCCATGGCCAAAGGTCAACCAAAATTGTGAATTATGTAGTCCCCAGCCCCCAGGGGCCTGAGGGACGGGGCCAAAAAGGGTCAAATTGACTAAAATTTCAAAAATCTTCTTCTCATGATCCAGATATGGTAGAATCAAATACTCTTCATAGATGGAAGGATCCTAAGTTTCTTTACCAAAATTGTGAATTTCATGAGCCTTGGGTCTCATGTTTCCCCCTCGGGAGGGGACAAATTTTACTCTTGTTTATATAGGGAAATCACATTTTGGGCCAACATTTGTTTGATTTCCATTGGAATTAATTCAAACTTTGTAAGCATTATCAGTATTGGATAGAAGTTTGATGGTATGCTGATATAGCCCTGACTGACCCCCAGGGGCTGATAGGTGGGGCCAAAAAGGGTTGAATTGAATGAAATTTCAATAACCCTCTTCTCAAGACCAAGATATGGTAGATTCAAATACTCTTCATAGATGGAAGGGTCTTAAGATGCTTTACCATAATTCAGCTGACTGACAGAGCCACTATTTGTACATAGTACATATACTACCAGATCTTTCACACTAGTTTTGCATAACATGTACGTAGTTACCTTTGTTACAAAATGATTTCTTTTTCATTTGGCAACATCGATAACATCAGTTTTTACATAACTCAGGTGACCGCTAAGGCCCATGGGCCTCTTACTTCTTGTTATTTAGATTTGCAGCCAAATTTAGCATATGCACATCTACCCACTTTTGTAGCTATAAGCAGTATGCTTCCTAAAATTCCTCTAACATAATGAATTTATTTCTTGAAGTCAATATTTTTTTTCTTATTTTTCATTTTTTTGTGCAAATATTTTGAAGTTAAGCACTCCTCTTTCATTGTTTTATGGAGGAAGATATTTTTTTCTGATATTTATATCTCCTTATGTTGAATTTCACATAAATTTGAAAATATTTATTTATTTTATCCAACATCAGAATTTAGAGACATCTTTTAGCTAATATGGGCTATGGGCTCATGATCATAGCATGTTTGGGAAAGTTATAGGATTGCAGAACTTACAGAAATAAAATCTGAGAAATGGAATGCTCAGATCCTAAAAGGGGCCGCTTATAAGTCGGATACAGTACTGTGCCTACACACATACTGGGGAGGATCTTTTCCATTGATTATTTTTTATTAGGTAATAATTTGATATAATGCCCACTGCTGTAGAATTTTGTTATGGAAAGAAATTGTGTTGTGTGTTTTAGGTACCTGGTCAGCGGCCATCCTCAGCAACCAATCAACAACAGAGGAAGCCTTTGTATGGCAAGAAACAGTACAGCAATGCAATCAACAACCCGTCAGCAGGTTCTCACAAGGCCTACTTCGGCAGTTACAATCAGAACGTAGGCACCATCTCCTCCTCAGCGCTAGCTTCACTTCAGGGCAAGAGGTCATGATTGGTGAAGGGGGCGTGATAGGGCTCTGGCAACGTGTATGGACCACAAAACATATTCATGTCTACATCTGACCTATGTATGTTTTATCTGACGCTAGCTTTCTTCCTTTCACTGAGAATTGGAAATAGGTTTTTGTTCAACTGTTATTGGTTGAATGTCTGTAAACCATCATGAGGTGACTGAAGGAATAGGTTGACATTTTTAAAGCTAGATAAGTCAGGACTGTTCATTGCTCATTTGTTCAGGGTTGTCCGAGTAATAATGGTCACAGAAAAAAATATTTAGGTGTGGTTTAAAGGAAGCAATAAACATGTCCTTAAAAGTCAGATTTTATTTTTGAAAAATTGGAAAGTAAATTTAAAGATCTGTAACAGATCAGGAAGTTGCTTTCTACAGTGAGATTTGTAACAAAAGAATTCATTGAGATTCACTAGTAACTAGAATCTGCAGACAAACTGTATATTGTCACCTCCACCAGAAGTATATATACAGAACATAACTGACAGATGATATAGTTAACTGTCTATTTAACAGTTAGGTGTAAGATAAAAAAAAAAAACACCTGGAATGTAGTAGTGTGGAGTTAAGCTAATTTGTGACCAAGTGAAATATCAGGTTGTATCTGTTTTCCTTTGGAGAACTGGTTGGTGTTTTTTTCTGTAGATTTTACTTGCCACAATTTATTGGAAATAGTACAGTATATTTGGCCCAGTAAAGCCATAGGAGACACTGTTTTTCTGAGTTTGGTGAAGGGTTGGGTCACTGGGATCACACAAGGATAGGGGGCACTTTTAATATCCCGTGCTTACTGATGGTCTTAAAAGTTATAACTATAAGACAGTTCTACTGTTCAAGAAGCAAGGTCTAGGGAAAGTAATAGCTGTTAACTGTCATACACAAGAAGACATTAGTTTAGCATTTAACAGTAAGGCCCAACCTTTCATTATTTAAGTTCATCAGATGTTGGTTTAAGAATCATGTTATGAAGATTCTAATTTCATGGCTTGATTTGTTTTACTTGACTATTTTGATGTTATATTCTGGCATTATCTCTTCATCTGCTATAAATATGATAAAATAAAATAAAGAGTAAAATTTGGGTACAAATGTGATACAGATTTCACCCCCTTCTCAGGGATAAGGCTGCCCAAGTCTAATGCAAGTAACATGAAATATGTATCCCTGCAGCTACACATTACATTGTCTACCACCCCAAAATGTCGCCCCAAGTCTAAGATCACAGTTAGGGGTCAAAGTTCTAATGATATTGGATTTACTGCCCAAGGTTTAAGGTTGGATTTCCCTCATTAACCTGGTACTTGTTATCACTGGACATTGTGTCACACACTACTTAATATGGAAAGGCCAAGGTCACAAGTAGAGGTCAAATCACCTTTTTTTGGAGTCTGGTCATGTGTGCAAATAATATTTATTTGTCTGCTGAAGGGCAAGGTTAGTGTATTAATTTGGGTTTGCAGAACTCTGACCTTGTGTGCATTAGAAAATGTCTTACATGAAAATCTTTTTGAAATAGTGTTGCATGTACTATAACAATGATTTTTAAAATCCACAATATTTTGCTTGCAAGGAGAGGAAGTATTGATTGCAATGAGAAGGAGTATTTGTAAGGGCAGGTGTGAGAGGATAAGAATGACAGGATTTTTCCTGGTTTGGACAGACTATCTGGATAATAGCAAAGTGATTGCATGTGAAACTTGAAGAATGCTAGGGTAGTTTTTATATTTTCAAAAGCTGAACCATTTCCTTCTATTCTCTGATTTTCCTCAGTTTCGTTGGAAAACGTAACGTTTGGAGGAGGAAGTTGTCTTCAAAAAAGGTGTAACAATCTGACATAAAAGAAAATTTGAGTGCATTCGTAACATTTATTTTAAAAGTCAAAATTTGCACTCGTGATTTTATAAAAAAAAAAAAAAAAATGTATTTTGCATACTTTAATGCTTCTGAAATGGTCTACGACAAGGATTTACACAGAACAGTTTGAACTAGGTTTTTGCTGAAAATGTGTTCATTAAAATACCCTCAGTTGAGTAAAAGATAAAATGAGGCTGTGGAAGTCCAGGTAGGACTACCAGTGTGTTCCTCAAATATATGTACCAACACGCACCTCACAGAATCAAACCATTCGCACATGTTGGAAACTTCACTTTTTGTTGTTGTGAGAACATTATTTTAATTTTAAATATTGTTAATTTTAAATATTTTATGATGACTACCCATAGTGTGATATAAGTATAGTATAAACCGTCACCATTTTGCCGTCCAATATACATCACCAATATTATCTCATGATACATGTATACATCCTGTTTTATGTATTAAATAATTATATACATATAATGTACTGTGTGCCGAGGGTTAGTGTATTCTCAAATTGAATGATATATTTCAAATTATCCACATTTACATTCCAATGTTTTTATCATTCCAGCAACGGTTGATTGCATTTCATAGAAATGGACTTTTTTGCTGTTATATTTTTCATTATTTTATATTCATTAACTTCTGATTTCGATCAATAACCAATTGATCAAAATATGTATACCATAATATTGGGTTCTATCAGATGTTGAGTTAATATGATTGTTTCTTTTTGCTTTTTAGAAATATTGCCTTTTTATATTTGTTTGAATCAATTTAAGAGGACCACTGTGTAAAACTTGATACATACTTTTCTGTTTAAAGATACCTCTCTTATTTTTTTAGTCCATTTTTTTTTATTTAGTTTTACACACAACGTGATACAAAACACTATGAGTTGACTGCCGTCCATTATTGTATAATATATATATATATATATGAGTAAAAAAACTTCTGGTCTCTTAAGGTAAAGGATATCACTGAGATAAAATGTATTACCATTGTAACAATTAAGAAATATTTCAATAAGTTCTTTTCTACAAAAAAGAAATCACATAAATTACATGTTGTGACACATTTAAAAACTTCTTTGTTGAAAATTTGAAAAGAGAAATGAAAAAAAAACAAAAACAAAAAAGTGCAAGGTTCAAACTCAGTACCTATATACTTCCCACCCTACATCTACAAATGTTGCTACCAAGGATTTATAAATGCATTGCATCAAAATGAGTCTATCAGCTGAATTACCTGCTGAGGAGGAAAAATGGAATGTAGAGAGATGAATACCTTTACAAGGGAAGTAACTCTTCATTAAAAACAGCTCCAAGTGAAATCCTTCTTTTAACTGATGTAATACGTGGTACCATTTACCTTAGAAAATAAGCCTGTGTCTTAGATAATAAGCCTGTGTGATTTTACTGTGAGTTTTATTTTTCTGTCGGAGGAATGAATTTTACATGTATCAGGTACATATATTCAGGAACATAATCAGTTTCTGAAATATTTTGTGGCAGATGTTAGGTAATAATGATTTATCTCCAAAGCAAAGGAACTGTTTAATTAATATAGAGGTTACATGTGATTGCTACAGTATGAAGCATTTTAAAGGAAGTCCTTTGATCTTTGTTGCTGTTTCTGTTGAAGCATTGGTAAGAATTTGATCATTTAAAGATGTGATATGTGTTGGAAATGACAGTGTTTTTGAATGAAATACTTCAACCTATTCACTATAGACTTTGTGAATGTTTTTGGTTATTTGAGGAATTGAAAGCCTTTTTGTGATCATGTAGAAAAATCCACCATTATCTGCATGTGAAATTGTTCTATCTGGCTGCAATTTGTTTGAAAAGCAAAATTTTTAAATTGGTAAAAAAATGTTTTGCTATTTCATCACATGATTTGTGAAAGTAAAATTATTTTGAAATAATTTTTAAATTGCAGCAAAATTTGCCAAATATAATATATAGTAATACACCATTCCGTCCCAGTATTGTTGATCCCTGTTTGGGCTGTTGACTCTCACCGCCGATGAGGTCGTTAATAAGATTATTTGTTGTGACTATGTAATTTATGAAAAAGATATATATGATGAAACTTCGATGAGATATATATAATTTATTTTTTATTTTTAAATTAAATTTGTACATTCACAGCATGTTGCAAATATCTGTATTGTACATAAATTGCTATGACTAGATGCAAGTGTAACTTCAAAAGGTCTTGAGTGGAGTGTCAATGTGATCAAACTCAATTCTTGAAAAAAACGTTCACCTTACCACTAAATGTTGTAATATATAACATTGATACTAACACGATTTCAACCATCTGATCATCAATTGCATATTACGTGAATCTGAAATTTAGGAGGGTGTAGAAAGGGTTTGGATTTTTTTTAATTGAAAACATCCAGGAACATATGTAAATCATTTCACAATGAAGTACATTTTGTAATCACATTTCACTAATAATAACTGTATATTGGTGTTTCACGTTTCCTTATGAAATGGTTGTGATACCACTGATTTTAAACATTATTTATCATATATTTGTCCTTTTAAATCATTTCTTAATTCAGTGGTCATCACTAAATCACCTTTTGGTCAGTAAAGAGTGAGTATAGCCTATTATAATTACATTAGTAGGGAGAAACCATATCCTGTTTAATACGTCGTGGATAGATTAACCTAGTAGATCTGTACAATAATGGCCTCTATTACCAAGAAGGGTAATAAGGCAAAGCTGGCATTTGAATACTCGTAGAAGTTGTGTTAAAGACTAACAAAGACTGTATGTAGTAACTGACACAGTTGTTCTGTAACTAGGTTACTGACGGCCTGGTTAATCTGTATCTAAGTCATTGACAGGCTTGACTGGTCTGTATGTAGGTCACTGGCTGAGCTGTATATAGGTCATTTAGAGTTTGGCTGATCTATATGTAGACCACTGACTGTCTGGTCAGTCATTATGTAGGTAACTGATCCATGACGGTCTATCAAAGTCTGTGCATAAGATACTGACAGTATGGCAGGTCTCTTTGTAGGTCAAGGACGATCTGGCTGGCCTGTATGCAAGTCTGACAGGTCTGTATGTAGTTTACAGACAGTATGACAGGTCAATATGTAGGTATAACTGTCAATCTAGCAGGTCTATATGTAGGTGTTTGACAGGCCCATATGTAGGTTACTGCCAGTCTAGCAGGTCCATATGTAGGTTACTGACAGTGACAGGTCCATATATGTAAGTTACTGTCAGTCTGACTGATCTTTAGGTAGGTTACTGACGGCACAGTCTGACAGGTCCATATGTAGGTTACTGACAGTCTAACAGGTCCATATGTAGGTTACTGTCAGTCTGACAGCTGGTCTATATGTAGGTTACTGTCAGACTGACAGTAAGTCCATATGTAGGTTACTGACAGGACCATATGTAGGTTACTGTCAGTCTGACAGGTCTATATGTAGGTTACTTTCAGACTGACAGGTCCATATGTAGGTTACTGACAGGTCTATGTAGGTTACTGTCAGACTGATAGGTCTGTATGTAGGTTATTGACAGACGGACAGGTCTGTATGTAGGTTACTGACAGACGGACAGATCTGTATGTAGGTTACTGCAGCTGTCAGTCTGACAGATATTTAGGTAGGTTACTGACGGTATCAGTCTGACAGGCCCATATGTTGGTTACTGACAGGTCTGTATGTAGGTTACTGTCAGACTGACAGCTGGTCTATATGAAGGTTACTGTCAGACTGACAGGCCCATATGTAGGTTACTGACAGGTCCATATGTAGGTTACTGACAGACTGACAGGTCCATATGTAGGTTACTGACAGGTCTGTATGTAGGTTACTGTCAAACTGACAGGTCAATATGTAGATAACGGACAGTCACACTGGTCTCCATGTAGTGTATTAGCCAACAATGTCAGATCTTTCTTTTCTGTTTTTTTTTCCTGGTCAAGCTTGATGCTATATGCCAGAAATGTTTACGAATTTCCTTGTACAATGTATTTGGAAAATGAAAATAAAGATGAATGACAAGATATTTTTTCTTGATTTGTTTTTGGCTATTTGAAAAAGCATACAATTTTTTTATATATTTATTACATATTTAAAGAACTGTGTGAATCGAAGGTATTGATTTGATGATTTTGATCATCACCATGCTAGTTACTGAGCCAACTTGTTTTCATTGATGTATTTCGTAACATCATGAACTATTGGACTACAGGCTGAACGCTCTATACTTATATATAACTATATGGGAACCGATTCAAAAGGACAACAACAGGAACTAAGGAGCTACCACAACAGAAATACGGTCATTGTTAACCCGCAAACATAAAATGTATTTGGTTTGATCTTGAGTAAACAATCGGGAGGTTTTCGTGGCTAAGTTTATCTGAGAAAGGTAATGTTTTCCTCAATGAATCGGCGTGTAGTATTCAGAAGTTGAGGCAGTCATCATCGTTATGAACGCAGTATTTGTTGGGCGTCAACCAGAGACGTATATAACACACGTCTCTGCGTCAACTAGGGGAGAAACAAGCCTAATGTATGCTTTTGACCACCCACGGCTTTTAATCTGGTGTAATGTACAAATCGGTGTCAGAGTTGAGGGATCTAGCATGGCACCGAGGATGGGAGAGTTAATATTCAATGCATTTCCTGAGATACTTTCTTCACCGATTCCGACATAAAACTTCTCGCATGTGACAAATATCGAACCTAACATTGGTTTGGATGTCGTTAAAAACATAAAGTAGGAGAACATGTACAATTGTACAGTGAATAGTAGTGCTGGTGAATTTTAGACAATATAAATGTAATGTTGCAGTTGTACGAGCTAAATGAGGAGATGCAAAGATTTATAGCAAACAAAGACAAAGAAAAAATGAAATGGAGATGCGACAAACACCGGAAAACCTATCTGTTATAAAGAGAAATATTTTTTTGTATAGTGTGAAACAGAAAATCAAACAGCCATCTCTCAGCTACAAGTCTTTGTTACTGACAAAATTGAACTCAAAAGGAAAATGTATATGAATGTTTCAGGAAATTGGAATAAATACTGATTTGACAAGGGCTAAGAGGGAACAAAAATAAACGTTTGTAGGAGGAAACCAAGGTAAATTAGGAAACAGCACAGGAAGAATACTTTACATGCACAGTTTGGTGTCCCTCATGAGTCAAATGTGATGTAAATTAAAAAGAAAAACTTGCTCGTAAACTGGCCAGAAATACTTTTTAGATAATAAACCGATATAATTTTAGCAGATGGGTATTATTAAGCATGTTAAATACATCAATCTATTTTAACCAGTAAGATGGGTATACTCTCGGAACAATGCAAAAGCAGATAAATTACCCAAAGTGATATGCATAATTATTAAATTAAGTATTGAATGTATTACTTTATATTATTATTACTATTATTTTGGCACATCATGGCCATGGCTTCGCCCTATCAAGTCTTATACTTTTGCGCCCGATGAAAAACAATATCAGGTCCTTCCAGAGGAAAACATCTTGAATAATTATGTGTCACATTCGTAGAAGCGTTAAATAAGACATTCATTTGCATTGTAATAGACAAGGACATTGATGCAGTAATCAGAGTTTTGTTTAATCATTTTAAAACCCGAAGGCGAATCCAGTTGGTCTAGAATTAAGGGTAAGCGTTACTTACACCTCAAGTTTTCACCAGTCTGGCTGTCTCCTATCAAATTTAGGAAAATAATGTAGGTCAAGAACGATATTGGGTACCACGAACATGACCTTACTTACGACATGCTCCTGAAATCGTAATTATGGAAGTTATTTTGTGATGACGACGAACGTTTATTTAGCATAGTATGAAACTTGTCTGGTAAATAACCCTGGCATATTGGCCAACGGGACGCATTTATTCAAAAATCCTTAGTATGATAATAGCAATCATGTATAGAGCATTGTCTATCATGTCTAAGATTTTAGATGACATGATTTCTTGCATTTTATGAAAGACGTCATGGTGGTGCAGTACATGCTTACAATCGGGAGCAAATGGCTTCACCTCGAGGTTATTGTTATGATACAACTAGAACCAGATCTAGTCCTTATTCCGTATTTGAGTGTTGACGTAGTGATATATGTGTCTTCTATATTACGTTAACCCACCTCATCTATGGCATTAACAAAAAAATAGTAAAAACAAAATGGAGACATGCTAGTCTTGCTAGACATGCACAATATTGAGATGTGTCATGGTGGGAACTATACATTCACTCCATGAACACAAAATGTTCAATATGTGACATTATTATTGCATGTTATACACCGTTCTATGTAGAAACTCATATGATTGTGTCTATTTATTCTTTTGTTCTGTAAGACATACGATATTTCCGCATTTTAAGAAAATAATATAATTTAGTCTGTGTTCGAAATATGACCCAGACAAATACATTATTGTATATTTAATGTGTAAATATCTGAATAAATATGTATTTAACATACTATGTACGATACCCAGGCTGTAATCGTAATAATGACCTAATCTGTTTGGGATGGTCAGTCAACACAATGGACAAACAGAGCGCGGGCGAATGACTCGAAATAAGCTTGTCTCTGGCTAATTATCCGATAACTCCCTTATCTCACCCTACATAACACATCCACCTCGATCTGTAGCGGGTATACTCATACAAGTCTATATATGGTAAACAAAGGGGCCAGTTAAAGGGGAACAAGAAATGAAAGAGATTTATATTATATTATCCTATTTTTTTTATTATTTTTTTTCCAATCTGCATGCTAGCTTAAAATATTTTAAAAAATGCAACGGTAATCCAACTGCAAAACACCTCATGCCTACCTTTTTCTTTATATTATTTATGAAGATGCTTCCCTTTCGTTACCTTTGTTGTGCTATAATAATAAGTTGTGTTGGTATATTTGGTATGCCAGTTTCACATGTTCACAACAGTCAACGTAGTCGCTCAACACGGTGAATCATTTGTACATTTTTTTCGAATTATGAAATGATTTAGTTGATTTGTGGGTGGATTCCGTAGTAATCTTATTGAGATAAAACAAATCCAACATTCTATAGCATTGTCGTTCACCCTGGGAAGTAGTAGCAGTTCTATATAGAACAGAGGAGTTTTACAGAAAGCATCGTACTTTTCCAGGTAGGTCACCTTCCATTCTAACTGTATATATAAGATGTTGTATCTCAAAGCAACTTTTGATAAATTGTACTTGATGAACTTCCTTCCGTTTGGCTGCAAGCATGGTCCCCATTTTGGTTTATCGATTTCCACTTTTCAAGTTTGCAATTATAAGCTATATAAATATTTTCTAAATCGTCCTTTCATGTTGACGTCAAGGTAATATTTTGTTTTCAATTTGTCCATAGTTTATGACTGTTTAGTAATATCATTTTGTTTAAAATTTGTCTCTGTGTGTTGACGCTTTGGTAATATTTTTTCTTCAAATTCATCCATGTATGTTGGCGCAATGGTTAATTTTTATTTTATTTTTCAAAGCTATCCTGATATGTTGACGCTCTAGATTTATTTTATTTAACACTTGTCTCTGTGTGTTGACGCAATTGCGATTTTTTTGTATTTTTTTAAACTCGTCCGTTATTGTTGACGCTGCAGTTATATTTTTTCCAAATTTGCCCTTGTTTGAAGAAAGTTCAGTAGTATCTCATTTTCACATATGTCCTTCTGTTTTGAAGCTATGATAATGTTACAAAATTTTCCTTCTTTTTTCTTTTTTTTTAAGACGATATTGTAATATCTCACTTTGTCCTTGTTGATGCTATTTTGATACTATTTTATTTTCAAATTCAATTCGTTCGTCATTGTTGACGCTGCAGAAACATTATTTTGTTTTCATATTTGTCATATTTGTCCTAGTTATTACACTGATAATATTTCCATCCCCACAGGGAAATATGTTATTTCTTTGTGTTAAATAACATAAGTGTTTTTTATAATGCTCATTTGAGTGCCTTGTGGTTCTGTTGTCACTCTCCGAGGTTTTGCTGTGAGGAAGTGACATTACTAGGATTGCCGGGTGTTGGCGAAAACGCAGCAGACGCTTACTTTTCCAGAACACCTGATCTCCTTGTACTCTTCAAGGGTCTCCATCTCTCCCTTGTTTATGTTTTACCCTCGTTTAATCTATTATACATGTACATGCAAATTATGGTTTTGTCGACACTATGGTATTCTCTTGTTGTTTTGACTCTGTGATAATGTAACCAACTTGTCATCTCTCCCTTATTTGTAAACAGTATTGTTATATCTTACCTTTCTTGGTTAATTGAGGTATTCTAATTCTATATACATTTTCATATTTCTACGGTTTTTGACAGCATATTAATATTGACTTGTTTCAAATTTCTCCTTTTTTGTTGACGGAATGTCAAATTTGTTCTGAAGGTGTAGGCTGTGGTATTTTAGTTTACTTTGCTTTATACCCATATGTATATATTTCTCCACGAGACAATGAGCATTAGTATTAAGTAGTAATATATTATTTGATGTTACCTAATGAGCAATTGCTTTATTCTAGCAGATTGCAAAGAGGCAGTGTGATCTTTGTTATTTGACCTCAAATTGAACTTGTGGATCGCAAATTCTCCACAGTAGAAATAACTGATTGCATCATCTCAAGGAAATATCGCCGAATATCCCTTTCTTTCATAATGAAGCGTTTCATGTCCATACTTGCTTTCTCTAATGTTGTTTGGGGGATGTGTTTTATTTTGTTTTTGGTGTTTGTTCTGTTTTCTGTCTCTTTGTATCGATTGCAAGTCTGTTTTCGTCTATATATTCCCCAAATTATCAAAATAGTGATTTGATGAATATGAATATAGTTCTTGCTGAAACTTTTGATCCAAACTTAACATTTCTTTGCAGCGCCATGTTAGTTCACGCCTCAATAGTCACATGTATCCTGCTGTTTGTGGGTCCCGTTCTGGTATCAACACAGACCAATCCCAGAATGATACCCGCGGTGTTAGGCAGCTCTGTGACTCTATATTGTACCGTTCCCCAGACTGCCAACTCATTCCTAATCTGGGAGAAAACGCACCCTACAAAGGCCACTATAGCCATTAACGATAAATTACAAAACGGATTCCAGAATTCCAACAAGGTATCGGTTCACTTACGTCCCGACAATACGACGTCGTTAGAGCTGACATCGTTGAGCTTGATGGATGATGGCGAGTATAGGTGCTATGACGTCATCGATTTGCTGAAGATGGATAGCTTTGACGTCAGCATTCTGGGTAATTGCGTCGATTCGTAGTAGTTGAAACAATTATGTATACACATTAAATCACAAATATGTACCTATTTTATCTCAATATTATAGAACAAAAAATAAGTAAGTTTCTAAAGATATCTGCATACTATTGGGACGCGCATATCATTTTGGAAGAATGCAAAATATGTATTATCTTCTTTTAAAAGTAGTTTTGACTGTGTTAATTAATTTCCATACACTTTACAAGCGTTGATGACACAAAGGTTATTCTGATTTATTACATCATTACAAAACTTAAGTATATAATGCTCCCGATTTCATTTGCAACCTAGCTGACCGCCAACACCTCTCAATGTCCTATTTTTATTTTTATTGAAAATTCTTATTATGTTTCGCACAAAATACTGCCATATCTCTTTATAGTGCAAACTTTTGCTCGATAAATACATGTGGCAATTTGCCTGTCAATCAGACTATTTACAACAAAAGATAACTGCGATCTTGATAGTCAACTTTTAAAGGTTAAATGTTGTTATTATATGGTAATCTCAACAAGGTCAACACTTGCAGTCGTAGTGGTGTTGTGTCGTTACTTCCTTCTCTCCTAAGATGTTGTTTTGTTTCAGTCCGCCCTTTCGATATTGGAATGTCCTCACTGATTGGCCAGATCGATGAGGGAACCACACAGACGATCACGTGCACTGCGGATGGCGGGAAGCCCACCCCGAGCATAGACTGGTATTTGTTAGGTAAGCTAATACATTTAGTATCTATCTTTATGGCAAGTCATATGAACATTAATCCATAGCAAGATTATCATAATTATTATTCTTGACATGTATATATATATTTAGCATTTGATATAGCAGGATGCTATATACGATATTTTATAATGTATGAAAATATGTATTATTATAAGATATTTTATATCATATATAATTAAACTCTCTTACGAATAAAGTATAATTACGACAGATACTCTCGACGTGGTCATAATGACAAATCGTCTTTTGATGGTATGAGTACCTGGATAGCAAGGTATAGCTATATACATGGATACAAATTGTACCAATATTAATTAATATTAAACACAGTACAATCACGACAGGTGGTATATATGATACATTGTGTTTATTTATTGAATACATTATAACTGAACTGCCGTTTATATATAATTATGGCAAAATAAATGTGAAGTTGGCTTGCCATGTATTTTATCTAAGATTAGTATACGTGACAATTGTTATCCTCTTTCCTTGTCTGTGTTAATGAAGTGGTCTCTCACAAGTGAAAACGCGATATAATAGCAATATATGAGATATATATGTAATATTCTATTGTGTAGATTCTTTGAAACAGCTGAACATTGCACTTCCTGAATACAAATCACTGATTCAGGATTTCGTCTCTTTGTTTTTTGGCAAAACTGTACTTGAAAACATTATTGCACCTACATTACAAATATGTATAACCTTTATTTAACAGACACATTGCCACTCAATGGTTTTCGGTTTTTAATGCATTAGGTTCTATATATGTGCAACTTATGTTGTTTCTTGTGATCTTTTGAGAAAATTCCAGTCTGCTATAATCCAGGAAAATGATTACCCCTGAGGAGATTCTGGTTGCACTGCCCTGTTTTATGTGCTTGTTACATTTTCTATTGTTCTTGTGTCTCCGCGGTTCTTGTATTTTTGTTTCAAACCTTATTTTTGATTGCCTTTTGTGTTGGCTTTGTTATTAGAGGGTTTTGTTCGTTCAATTTACATATCGAATTTTATAGGCGTTAAATTAATTTCTTTAGGACCAGACGTGAACAGAACAAGGTTACCTGGCAGTGAGGATGCACAACAGTATCCTAACGGGACCTGGTACAAGAGAAGTAGCCTTACGTTCACAGTCACCAGGCAGATGTACCAAGGTACTCTGTTCTGTTTGGTCAACACAGGTCCAATACCCTTCTACAATGAGAGTTTCCAGGTCCATCTTGATGTCAACTGTAAGTACCAGGTGTCATTTTGAACTAAACAATATTGAAGCAAAGGATGTAATAGGAAATATTGGTTTAATTAGGTAATGTCCAAAGTTCTTAAGTTATATTTTGGCAGTGTCATAATGCGATTTCGTCATGACTTAACAGTAGAAGGTAAACAAAGGTTAATTTTCCTATCGGGCCCGGGGTATCTATTTTTTGTGACAATCTGTATGATAAAAATCTTGTTTTAATACGTTATGGCAATGTGTTTCATAGGTTGTTCAGAACAGCTAACGGGATTCCGGAATGTGTTTCTTTATTAACCTTCGACCTTCCAATTGCACCATTGCTAATTTTTAACTTCAATAAAACCTTTATTAAATTTTGACCTTTCAGTGTCGCGATTACTATTCTTTTAACCATTCACGATAACATTTATTAACCTTTGACCTTTCAGTATCACCTTTAATGCCAACTATCCATTATTTCACTGGTCTGTTTAATAACGGTGAGACAAGTACCATTAGATGTACGTCAGCAGGAAGCAGACCCGCAGCCACCATTGATTGGTATCTAGATGGCGCGAAGTTAAAGAACACCATTCATGAGGTACTGCCGAGGTCAGATGGAACATTCTTCGTCACTGGAATTATCTCTGTAACATTTGACAAGAGTATGAGTGGACGTCAAATGAGATGTGCTGCCTCCAATTCAGTGGTCCGTAACAATGGCGTCGGCGAGGTCAACAGATCGGTCACACTCCTGGCTACATGTAAGACTCACTAGTCTAACTCCGCGGGTTATTTCGAAGTGAAATATTAAACTATATCGTGTCATAAACGACCATAAGTATATTATTTATAACGAGACCATATATATATGATAAACATATATAGGTCAAATTTAAAGAATAAGAGACATTTTAATCAAATGCATCTTGGAATAAGTAATTATATCCAAACTTGTTAATTAACATTTGGTAAATGACTAATTCACTCAAAGCTTGCCATGACTTTTTAATGTATATTATGTCTTGGATACATAATTTTACATGCTTCTTCATATCGATTGGAATTAGATTATTTAATTGAAAAAGTAAAGGAGCTCACAACCTTAATTGACTTTTTAGATGCTCCTGAAATCACATCGGAGAACGGAACAAGGGAAGTAACAGAGGATTCGGATGTCGTCCTCACCTGTCAGGTAGTTGCCAGACCAATGCCTACACCAAAAAATATATTCTGGCGCCACAACAACAACATAATATCTACCGGGACCGGAAGCAGATTTAATTACACTGCTGGCCGGGTAGCTGATCTTCGTATCTCGTCAGTAAAAAGGTAAACATAATCCGTTTGTCGCCAATTCCACATCCTGGTTATAAATGTATACATGTTTCCCATAAATACCATAATGTGAGTACAGGATACAGAATGACGTGTTAATGTGATCACAGAAAACGCTTACTCTTCCGTAACATATAATGTCATTTCAGTCATTGGTGTCGATTGACGATGGCATTCCATTTACTTCGGTGTCTGTTTGTTTAGTGCCTGGTGTCATTTTCGATTTTATAAGATGTATTTTCATATTATTGTGTTAAATATTTTACACTTATCTATTGGAAAAGCTTGTAATGTGAGTTTACGCATTTTTAATGCAATAGCCTCTTCACCTAGTTCAACAATATGTTAAAGGATGTAGCACAATCGAGATAAAAAAAATGCCACAAAACACATTTTGTCTGTCTTGGAACAAAATTAAATTAAAGGCAGCTACTACGGTATCTTTTTCGAACATGCGATTTAACAAGGGTATTTCAGGGTTGAGGAAGTACATGTGATGCAGTTAACTGTGTGAACTGTCAATATGTATCTACAAACAGTTCTTTGTCAATGTCATGGAGCTGTCTATAGCAAAATTGTATTTGGTTATTCATTTGGTCTTAAACTTTCAGGCATTAAACATAGGGTAAAGGATTAAACTATTGCAGTAATTGCTTGACAGGTCACTTGTCTCTGCAGCATAAAATACTGAAGAAAAGCACACATTGTGTATGGGATCCCAACCATCAGTCGTCTCTCATGAGTATGGTCAATTGCTTACGATATAAATAACGTCTGCCGTAGGGAACCCCGAACCAGTCGCCTCTTGCCGTCATTACAGAAAGTCTCTACGAATGTAAAAAATCTTTCTTGTAAATTCTTACCTTGATCTCCTCCTCAGAGAGGACGCCGGGGACTACGTATGCCAGGCTCTCAATACTATCGGTGTAGGAACTGGACAGAACATCCACATCGACGTGTCATGTAAGTACAGCCAAACCTGTGCGAAACACCATGTTATATGAACCTGATTATATAGAGACCACCTGCAGCTAGTGACTAATAGAATCTTCCCCTACCTTGAGGGTGTGACAGAGAAATCTCCAACACTCGGGGTGATTTTTTTGTTTGTCTAACACGAGGCTCTGCCGAGGGTCAGACAACCCCGAAAAATCACCCGATGATTATTTTTCATAACTCCACCGACAATTCAATCTTTGCGTATTGCAGAGTTACCTTCTCTTGTGAGCAGGTATTGATTGTTACGTCATTGGTTTGTGTGAGAAAATTACGTCGTTTTCTCAAAAATTGATGACGTTACTCTCACAAACAAATGATGTAACAATTAAAACCTGCTGACAATAGAAGATAACTCTGCAATACGCAAAAACGGAATAGTGTAAACAAAAACCCATGTGGGGTATGATGACGTCATTATTACCGGTGACGCATTTTCATGACGTTACAATTGAACACGTGCTAATCGGCACGAGGCTATCTCACCCTAGGGGGCGACAAACTGATCTTTCCCGCCTAAAACGGGAAACACACCTGTGAAGGGTGGGAGAATACTATATGAACTCCGAAGGTGGTCTCTAATGCAATTGGATATGAATAACACGTTTTCATGTAGCTCTCCTGGTGGACGCTTTTTGATTGCTTTGTATTTTTCGTTTATGGATGCATAGTTTGCGTAAATTATCAGCTGATTTATTTCAGAGCACACGTTCTTTTTTCGGTTTCTGTCTCCACAGAAAATATAAATTTCGAGAATGGTCCTGAATTATGCTCCAAAATTGGAATCACTACTTTTCTTGTAAACGTTTGATTACTAGAAATGATTGCCTGATAAAAAAAAACGTTTTAATTTCAGCCTTCTTGGCTATTGATTTCTTGAACAAGTACTTTTCTTTCAAACTCATTTGTGAAATGCTGTCATATTTACTGACTCCTGCTTTCCTTTTAGACCGCCCGTTTTGCACACTAGGTGGTGTTGTGAAGCATGCTGTTAAGCTAGGTGCGTCTGTGACAGTCACGTGCACAGTTGATGGGAACCCTGGGAATTCCACTATTAAGTGGCGTTACAAGGGTACGGGGATCACAATAAATCCGACTGTAGCCACACATTCCGTGTACGGGAGGCCGAGGGAAACAGCGTCGACGGCAGTCATTTCAGTCGTGTAAGTATTTAAATCCAACCTTATTTCCATTTAAACTTATATAAATTAGCATATGCTTTCATATTGCAGATTACAATTATCAATATCACTGAGGAATAAAGTGATTCCATATTGTAGTGGTCATCATAATTAAGATGATATATTATAATAAAATAATTTTCTCCATAGACTTTTCAAAATTATAATTCAGCTTTTCCTTACTTTATATGTATATATTTTTCGTACACCGACTTTTCGTCAATATGCTTTACTTCTATGACTTATTATTTGTTTTTAACTGTTTTCATTTCCTCCATTGTTCAATCAATCTTTAGGCACGTCTATAAACCACCTGATATTGCACTGCATAAGGGTTCCTCAAGCCCCTTAGATGATGAAATGGTCAACCTAACTTTCAATATCATGACAATTTAATCATAATTTCAGACAAAGAAAAATGTGTTTAGGAAAACAATTCTTATAACAAACTAAGTGAACGTCGCTATGTACCATTTCAATAACAAAAATACAAGTTAAATGCATCCAAGTTACATGTCTAAATTCCGATGTTGAAATGAGGTATTTAAATATGAATTATCAGGGGGATTAATGTTTGGGCGACTATATCTTATTGTGGGGCACTTGGTTACTTTCAAAAAACAATGTAATACTTATAGAATAAAGTAACTGTTTTGGTTTATTCTATTAGGAAGGAATGGCAGTACACAGATGTTGAATGCGTGGGAACGAACGCTATTGGTGTGTCCATGTCTCCTTGTCTTTACCGTATAGTGAGGCCAGGTGAGTGTCATACTGATATACCTCAATATAACGCCACTTGTATCTATTGGTGTGTCCATGTCTCCTTGTCTTTACCGTATAGTGAGGCCAGGTGAGTGTCATACTGATATACCTCAATATAACGCCACTTGTATCATTTGCCATCTCGCTTACCGTGATCATATTTAAATATCTAGTTTTTTTCTTTCAACGTCTTTTATCTGCGTTCCTCAAAATCGTGAAATCCCTTTAGAATCATTAATGCACTGGTGTTGTTTCTATAGTTTGTCGTATTTTCATTCCCATTGTTATCCAGAAATGTTTTTTATTCTATATAGGTCACCCGGAAGTGCCGACAAACTGCACATGGTCTGAGCTGAATGACGCAGAGATTCGGGTTCAATGTAATCCCGGGTTTGACGGCGGGTCCGATCAGTATTTCGTCATCCAACAGTCTGAGAGTGGAGGCCAGTACGAAATAACCCTAAACGACACAGAAGCTATGTTTCTTGTGTCCAACCTACAGGCAGGCACTCGCTACTTATTCAAGATTTGTGCTGCATCTGATCTGTATCCACAACTTTTAAGCTGCTCCTCTGAAATAGCAGCTCAGACATCTACAGGTAAGGTTGATTCGTCAATTCGTTTAACGATAGACTGTCTTCAGTTAAATACTATGTTTTATAAAAATAAATGGAAATTAACCCTTGAATTCAATTTCAATAATTCCATTTCTTTTCTATATGTTTGTCGTCGTTACAAATCTTTTTCTTCATGCATTCAATTAATTAGCATTGATAAAGTCATATCAGTAATTTCATTGACATTTATTAATAATAGAGATCTCTGGAAAATTTCTTTCATATAGGTAACAATAATCAACAGGCTTTAGCGTCCGCCGGAAGTCCTGAAAGCGCACCCTATATTGCTGCGGGAGTGATGGGAGCTGTTGTCCTTTTTATTTTACTTGGACTAATCATCTTCTTTATTCGGAGAAGGAGACAGGTTCGTAAACCGTATGACCACGACAGCCAACTGGCTGCTTCTGCAGCTCACCGCATGTATAGAGAACAAGTGATAAATAATGACGGGCATGATAACTATGGCGTCAGCATAACAAGCACCACGCATGGGCACTACAGTACTTCCTCTCTCAGCCTACCCAACCGGCGTGAGCTGAACAATTCGATCTATGGACATGATCCAACTAAAACCATCCGTAAATCGGTACAATGGAACAACAAACAACTTTTGTATTAAATATGCTTGTAAGTTAAGATTTGATTTAAGGAATGATTCATTCATGCCATACCATGATGAACGTATTCACAGTGATTACAACAGTTATAAAATATAAATACCTTAGATTATAGTCAGATGGAAAGGTATAATTATAATTTAAGAATAATGCACAACAACACTTTAAAGTCACCAGCATGATATATCCTATGCACACTTAGTGTTACTTACATGATAAACGTCTCTTAATTTGTAGAAATTTCTTCGTTCCATTATATTCTATGGCGGACCAGTGACAGTATAAGACGCCTCTTTTTCCTCAGAAATACGTATATCATCTGCCTTGATACGGACACAGGAGTGTGCTGGACCATGAAGAAGCCGTCTGCATGATCTGAAACCTCCTCCTCTACACACTTCAAAGAATTGACACTCACTATCACCGGTCATGCATGTGCGCATACACATCTCTTTCATTTGCATGTGCAATTTGCATTTTTAGAACATATTCATATTCTTTTAACAGTGTTATACTTGCTGTTCGTTATTTTTGATATTCTATGAATAATAAATGTTATCATATTTGTATGTTCAGCCTTCCTTTCTGTTTTGTTTCAGTTCTTTGTGTAGTTTATCGTCTGTGTGTACAGTATATTTTTGTTATGTATCCGACACAAGGTCTAACACATGCTTCTTAGCTGTGCTGTTACAAAGTGGTCCACGTTTATGGAAATATTTACTAGGCTGGAACTAAAATTTGAATCATTATAACTGCACTGTTTTAATATCTAATGATGGCGAATGAAAAATGAAAGTCAATACAAAAAGATAAACAGGAACTTAGGAAACATAAAAAAGGGAAAAATAATGGACCCCACGAGAGAAATTTGTGAAACTATTCAGGATTTCTCGAGTCAAGTCCAAGCCAATATGTAGAACACAACCGACTTCAATTAAGCAGGTGTATGTTATGATTACGCGGAGTTTTTTTTATTAGGGTTTCCCTTTAGATATCGATGTTATCGATTTTTCGTTCAAAATGTCATAAACCTTCACACTTAGAATCTAAATGTTAAACGTTATCCTTTATTCAAAATACTTTACATAATTAATCTTTGATAATTATCGTCTAGTTTACAATCGGAATCTGAGTCATATAAAAACTAAATATGAAAACTATTTTTATAGATATTTAACTACCAATTTGTAAATCATACAAACAACCCATTTGAGTAATGCTTCAACAAATTTCAGGACATTACTTATAAATTTTACAACATTTTACTGCAACAATTAAACATAAGAATATGTATACAGAAATGTGATTTTACAAAATGAAATAAAACAAATCAAATGTAAAATGGATTTTTTTCTTTTAAAACATTTGAATTCAATACAATACTATTCCTTTTAGCATGCTTTACTTAAGTATCTGCTTTCTGAATTATTTATTATTTGTGAAACCTGATGAGCCGATATCCTTCAGAATGGTCATTTTATTATGACAATATTTTGTTTAATAAATGAGAACATTCAAATGGAATATTGGATTCGCGTAAGTGGGTAAGGCTACAAAGTAGAGACGCATAGCTGCAAAATGCCTTCTTATCTATGGTACCAGTCCCAAAAACTGTAAGGATATACGATAGGTTTATTACTTAATATATTATACCGAGAAAATGAAAATGTAAAAATATTTACAGCCGTCAGAGGAAACAGAGGAATCTTCATGGAACCAGAATATTCGTGAGTACACAATATCGATCACGTGTTACGCCACCGATCATCACTTAACGTTAGGTATACTTACAGTCACATGGTGTTTACACACATTTAGACTTACAACTGAATTGCTTTATTTTTCTATCTTTCCTGCTTACACAATTGTAGTATACACTACATTTTCAATTGCACTTTCCCTTTACCAAGTGGCATTGCCACGGTTGTGTTGTGATGATTATTGAAACCCGTAGTTTTTTTTGCACCACTATATTTCCGACCTCGGTTCAATCAAAACAAAGTCGCTCGGTGTTGAAATTGTGTTCCTGTTGCTATTTTGCAAATTACAAAATGTTTTTATCACGTGTTAAATTTCTACTCTTATTTCTCACCATGTTCAGGATATCGTCTCTATGGATTTATAAAACAAAACCAACACAATAGGCGAAACATTCAAAATTTGAACACTGCAATGCATGAAATCTGAATAAATACAGCTGTTCATTATCACGTACCGCATGAACAATAGCTTTTTTTTTTTATTAACATCTGATTTTAATGAGATTGCAATGCATGTGATATGTATAATAATTATTGAAGACATATTGTTTTTCAATGAAATGTTCTATGATTACACAGTTCCAGACACCAGCCAATCAAAACAAGGAGGTGTAAGTCATAGGACGAGGAGAGCAGAAGAGAGTGATGTTACAAAGAATACAAATACCACTCAGAATTCTTATGAAGAACATTCAAACAATCGATTTATAGCAGCAAATCAAAATGAGTCCTTCGTTATACATATAAATCCGAATGATATCAAGAACTTCGATCGTGACATCGATAATTCGATCCCCGATAAGATGCAGACATATCCTCCTGTATCTGCCCCGCAGACACAAGAGCAGTCGCTTGTTGGGGACAACGTCCAAGTACAGACGAAAAATGAAGACAACTTCGACATTAACGACTTTCAGAATTGGCTAAATGGCACTCCTTCTAATCTTAGCAAAAGTTCAAGGCATAATCTTTGTTACAGTGAAGCGGATATTTCGATGGCCTCTATAAATCCCAGATCCGCATCTTGGATTGATGACAAGAAGTCTGTTTCATTAGAAATCATACCGCTGACGAATGATCCAAAAACTAACAATACTGGTTCGATGTTTCAAACTACACTTTCGCCCCGTTTCATAAACATGGATAATTGTGTGGAACAAAATGAAAGTTCAGGATCGTCGTCAGCTTCCTTCGATTCGAAACGCGAAGGACATGAAACCATAGCACAAGACCGCATGCGCAGAGACACTGATATCAATCCGAAAAAAGACAATTCTAGTCTTTCAGATTATAATAAACAAACAATTAAGAGACCAAGTTACAAACTAGCCATGCATAATAATGACGACTTTGCTTTTAACGACTTTTTCTCGGCATCGGTTGAGGCATTGGCGGCTCTTGATGCCACACTGGCAGACGACACATCACTGGACACGGGGCATGACAGTGATACATCTAATTCCTTCAAGAGCAGTAGTGACAATATGAGTCAACATGTCGTACAGAAGGATCACGAAGGCCTTTCTAACGACAACGACCAACCAATAACAGACCAGGGAAAGTGGTGTCAAAATCTACATGGCGACAAGGAGTCTGACTACGTTGAGATGACTTCGTTACAGGGAAATCTTGACGAGAAAACTTTAATTCCTGTCGGCGAACAGGTCTGCATTGAGGCGCCATCAATACCTGAACAGGAAAATTACTTTGAAATGACTTTATTACCCTGCAAACAAGAACACGATGAGACGGCGGTATTACCTGACGATCTGCGCCAGGTTGAGCCAACTCAAATACCACTTGAACAGGACTACACTGATATGACGGCAACACCTAGTAAGCAATGTATAAGCTATACGAATGCAATACATGACAAACAGGGCCGGGATGAGTCGAACAATTTACCTTCCAAACAAGTTGAGAAGATAAGATTACGTTGCAAACGTGTTGACGCTGAGGCAAATACAATTTCTCATGTTGACAGTGATACATCCTCAAGTTCAAATTCTTCAGTCAGCTCATCAAGCGAGTGTGATTCAGAAGAATTTAGCACCCCTCAGGAATCGGCAGGACCTGACAGCATCGTAGAGGTGTCCTCGGACCAGAAACCAGTCATAGGGGAAATCACACAAGACATTGCCTTTATAGACTCTGACAGTGATGCAGAAGTGAAGCCAAACGGAAAGAGAAGAACATCTCCAGTTTATTTTTGATAAAATATGAAATCTAATTACGGTTCTATGAAACCTGACTTTGCCGAGGGTTTGGATATCATTAGGTCGGTAAAGACGTTGGTAACCCGACATTATCGACATCAAGAGAAGATGGATTTGAGTTCACAATGACAAATGTGTCGCTAAAACGAGTGTTTAAAACAGAGAGATAACATGTTTTACCGCAAAAATACATGTATGTCTGAAATTACAGGAGTCGTCAAAACATTGTAAGCCAACTGTCGTGAGTATTGGTATGATATTAGCTGATTAATGAAATTATACGTAGATAAATCAAACTGTGAAGACATGTCTTGTGGTGTGTCTGGTCGAATTTCTTAACTGTAATACTTGATCTTTCTTTTGAATTAATGTGTTATTTAACAATAACCGAGTTTATCATATGATTCCTTATCCCCGCCCCAACACACACATACACACACACTCACACCCAGAAGCACACAAAGTATAATATAGTGTGTCTTCGATCTTCTGCAAACGAATGTAGAGGTAAAACTATACATTTAACCGAATAATCCTGGTTCACATGGTAACAATTGTTTTAAAAACAACACAAGACTACCTAGCGTAAACAGACTCGTCTATCGAGTTCAATAGTAACGATTATCAGTAAATTAATTCACGTCTACATCTACAATCAATTGTGGCTTTATTGGAGTTTCAATAAACGGAGCGATATTACAATCAATTAAACAACAGCCTCAATTATTTACAATTTGATGTACATGTCAACAAACTGGTCACTTAACAAATCTAATGTCCCTATCCAAGTAAATTGGCGGGAAATGTTTGCGCAATCCCTCTTTCCACCTACAAACTCTTCGGATAGGACACTGTTGTGTTATCATACCTATATATAGATTTGATTAAATTAAAAGTTGTACATTGTATTTCTTTTATATATAAAATATTACATTATAACAATAATACAGCCAACATCCGATGGGTCCATTGTGAGATGTAAATTCGAACCTGAAACAACACAAATTGTTCCATTCGCTTACCTGTACGACTGTGTATCGACATAGAAACAGCAAAAGACCCCTGGAACAGAGTTAAGGTTTTAACGAAACATAAAAGGATGTATAGCCAAATGAATGACGGCTTGTGTGACTAAATTATTTGATGATTTTTCAGAAATTAAGTATTGCATTATTCAATCTAACTATTATAGGAACATAAATTCATTAACTGATCAATAAAAGAATATAGTTTCTCCTGTCTATCAATGCTTTGTTCTGTTTTAATAAAATAATATGAATACCAAACACATACAGGTCATACGCCCTTATGAAAGGGCACATGTGACGCGGGACTAGGGGTGGATGGGAGTCCCCGTATTGCCTGATAAAGTGCTATGCCGCTGTAGTACATCCCAACAAAACAGCACACAAATCCCAGTATCATCACTCCAATATCTAGAGCCTTCGAATACCAACGCAATGTCCTCCATTTTATGTACAAATGAAAGTAGGAGGGCCAGACTAGGGATAACATCGTTCCGGTGAAGCTCCCAATAAGTCCCATTAGGAGGGCAAAGAACGGTACAAATATTGCCATCAGCATCGTCGCTAGTACAAGTCCTAAACGGAGTGCGACAGCCCAGACTTTTAAAGCCTTTTTGTCGTCTAGACAAGAAGGAAATACTGCCTTACCTCCAGTGCTGAACAGAGCGGTGTCTATCAACTCTACAGCGGCGTAGTATGGTAGAGGATACGAAAACAATGCTTTGATGACAAGAAACATGTTAATAATGATTTTGAATATTTCTGATGATATGTTATTGGTAATTACTTCCTTGGTTGCACTTCCCCATGTCAGAAATCCTATATATCCGAACAGAGACTTGAACAGAGCAGCAGCAAAGTGAGTCCAGTTCATCATGCAGGAAAATTTACTTTTGTCGACCATGTTTCCCTCCAAAGTAGGCACAAAAATCTGGGATGTGTAACTAAAGACAATGATTCCTAGACATATAGGGAATGACCATATATCCAGATGCACTTTAACCTCTTTGACCTTCCATTGCGCTGCTTTGGTAATACAGAAAATCAGTACAATGGCGTTGATGATAAGATGTGCGACGGTGCACCAGAAGCTTGACCACGACACACTACGAAGCGACTGTAGAAACGCACAAGGGATAAGGAATGCCGTGCTTATCATGATCCATGACGACAGATCGACGGGAAGGTTAGGAAAGCTACCAATGATAAGATCACCACTAAGGACCATGTACAAAATACACGTCATCAGCAGCTCAATAATTTGAGCGACGTATACCATTCTTCCTCCAATCACAGATCCGAAAGCAAAGTCAGCTACCTCCACGTAACTCTTCCTAACCCTGACCCTGACCCCGTGTTCGTCCTCCTCGTATAAGCAGTCGACCAGGATCTTTCCCGTGTAGCAACAAATACCAGCTACTAGCACGTTGGCGACTACGGCCCAGTAGCCACTCTTCAGGACCACGTACGGCAGACTGACAATCACCATACCCTGTAAAAAGGAAATATCGTGTAAGCATGTGAAAAAATTATCTTTGTATGTAATAGTCAAAGGCGAACTATGTGGGTCCCTCTGCAGAATCGGGTGGGTTTTTTTCTTTTTCTTCTACTTAGGGAATATTGAAGAGACCAAAACTCATATGCTTCCCTCAGTGCAACACTGGGGATCAATATATATATTCTTTTCTCACTCCATTTTGTTTTCAACATTGTTTCCCTACGCATCCGTCTCCATATGACCGTAGCTATTTTGTGAGGATGTTAAAACCCCACACAAATAGAAAGCATAACTCCATTTAAAATCATATTCGTAGTTTTTCTCTACATGTAGTTCTTATTTGTGCTACAAAACGAACAGGTATACCGTCTGTTACCGCTCTTTAATCCGTAAAGAATAATAAAACAAGATTTTTAAGTTGCGTCCCTATGTAAGCATATTTGAACTCTTAGTTCGATAATAAAGAATAACTGGTGAATAACTAAAGAGAATGTCGCTTACATGATGTCTTCCAATATCACTGCATTAGTTTACAAAATCGACAAAGTTAATTCGTCTACAACAAAGCGGCTTATTAGGTTATGGCGCTGTCGTAGTCATGTCGCTGATGGGTCACATTTGTGACGATATATTAATGAAGGCATTTTTACCGTAGTTATGTCGCTGATGGGTCACATTTGTGACGATATATTAATGAAGGCATTTTTACCATAGTTACGTCGCTGATGGGTCACATTTGTGACGATATATTAATGAAGGTATTTTTAATCGTAGTTATGTCGCTGATGGGTCACATTTGTGACGACATATTAATGAAGGCATTTTTACCGCAGTTATATCGCTGATGGGTCACAATTGTGACGATATATCAATGAAGGCATTTTTACCGTAGTAATGAACAAAAATGATACACATAAATCAATGCATTAGTATCACTTTTGACTTATTTAATATTTATTCAGGGAAAAAGAATTTAGAAAGTGTACCAAAATAATGTACCATGCGCAAAAACATGTACATTAGAGGTCGAAAAATGATTGCGAGTGTATATTTTCGCTCTGGCTCCACTTTTAACGTTTTTAAACATACCTGTATGGCGTTGGTTATGTTCCAAGCAGCCTGCCATTCGTTGATTTGATCTTTTGGGTCAATGCCGACCTCATCTGATTCCGAATGAGGGAATTTACCGTTTGTCAGCTCACACAATTCCTTCTCATTCTCAGAGGACGAGTATTTCACGAAATGTAGTTTTTCCTCTTTTGTCGCATTGAATGTTGGACAGAACGATCGGGCCCATCGGAAAGCACCGGAAAGTGAATAGGACATTGTGTTGAATTCCTTGTGTTTCCTTCTGAAATGTAAATGCGATGGTCAATAAGAATAATGTTAATTTCTTAAAACGTTCCAAGCCCAAGGTAATGATAAAGACCTCGTCATGTCTAAAGTCCTTGATTTATCTTAGCGCTTTCACTATTGTGTAATAATGTAACGCACCTTTTGACATAATGCAACCTCGCTTACCTCAAACATACCTATAGGTTCCTTTTCCATGCCTCGATCGATATAACAACAAACCCTTTATAATGTCAAAAGCTTGTTAGGCCATTCATGAAAAAAGTTTTGCAGTTTTCCGAGTTAGGAACTCATCTGAAGAAAAAATGTAAGCTATAATATAAGTTACAATACAATAAACACTCGTTAGAGTAAATAATGTTTATTGTCAAATAACATTTACTATACTAACCTTATCATAAAAACTGCAAAATAGCATTCATGATGTAGACTTGATTAAATCATTAAAAAAAAAAATCGGATAATCATATTTTCAAGAAAAGATATCTAATAAACCTAATATCAATGACTAAGGTAACAGATATTGTCTTAAGCTCCACACCTGTTCCCTGATCCCTCTAACATGTACTTTATTTGTGCGTATCATATCAATCGAAAACCAGAAAAACGAAGTATGGGTTATATTAATATTTATTATATGAAATAGGTTGTTTTCCAGGTTTGAGGTTTTTTTTCTGATAGTAAGAATTATAAGTAGAATCTATCTACTACCAAGCGTGTTATATTAATATTTATTATATGAAATAGGTTGTTTTCCAGGTTTGAAGTCTTTTTCCTGATAGTAAGAATTATAAGTAGAATCTATCTACTACCAAGTGTGTTATATTAATATTTATTATATGAAATAGGTTGTTTTCAAGGTTTGAAGTCTTTTTTCTAATAGTAAGAATTATAAGTAGAATCTATCTACTACCAAGCGTGTTATATTAATATTTATTATATGAAATAGGTTGTTTTCCAGGTTTGAAGTCTTTTTTCTGATAGTAAGAATTATAAGTAGGATCTATCTACTACCAAGCGTGTTATTTGTATTCACTTCGGACCTAACATGAGTTGGTGTTTTTGTCTCCAAGGCCGTATTTCTTTCCCTTCTATATATCTAAAGGATTTTATGGTACTTTAATCTTCCTGTTGCGGAACAATTTAGGTATGGATTTTTAGTCTTTTTACTTTTTTCTCTCTTTACAATGAAAGTGATGTTAATATGTACAGTGTCACTGTGATGATAAATATCGATACTGGTGTACATACATTTTGTATACCTATCTTCACAACGTCTCTGATATTTGGCTTCACTAGGTGGAGTTTATGATTACTGCTCTTATTCCTGTTTTAATTATTTTATAGTTACATGATCAATCTATAGTGCTTTGTGAGCTAAATTTTAAGAGAATTAACTCCAATGATAGATAATAGTAAGTACATGTACATTTTCTCATATGAATCCATATCATATTTTGAAATTTTACAAAATGTGTATTTCTTGGTAACTGATCCTATATATCAAGTGGGTGGATGGCTAATGTGTTTATACACAGGGACTTATGGACCTGTGTGCCTTCGACTTTATGTAGGATAGGTTGTCAACAAATAAACATGATTTATTTAATTGTTAGAATGTATGTTATGTTTATAAATAAGTTTGGAAAGGACATAAATAGGCCTAGCCTGATGTGCAATCCATTTGACATAAATAAAGTCAATAAAATTTGTTGAAATTGAATTAGTAACACTGAATAGTTTTAAAAGGCCGAATTAGTCTATGATACAGTAAACATTGACTGGTTTTTCCTCACTTTATATTTCTATCGTAAGTAATGATTTTTCCAATAAAGATACGTAGTTATGAGCGCATTAACTATACTGTATGTAGTAGAATACATCGTTTAATTTCTTATTTCAAGTAAGAAATATTCGCAAAATTAAGTGTGCACGAAAATTGAGAAATCTACAGTAATGTTTTCTTTATGTAATTAATTCTTCATACAATGTATTATCACGGAAATGCATCACTAACATACATAAAAATTAAACAGAAACAAAATGTTCTAAAATAAATTTTCGAAAGTAGCTTAAAGCGTCAATTTGCATTTAACTTAATAGCTGTTTTCTCTGTATAACCTTTTCTGTAATATAACTCACCCGCACTACGGCATTAAAATAAGGTTACACCCTCTAAGTAGCCCGACAAATCATAATGTATTTCTTCCACGCCCAACCTAACAGATGAGTCCATAACCTATATAGTTGATCTTTTTTCAAAATGAAATTAAATATATAATAACTTCCGACACAAAGCATTAGATATAAAAACTCATATAGTTTTCATATACGATCAAATATAGAGTGACTTTTAATCATTTGATATGATGTTTGGATTTGTGTTTCGATGAATGGTAGACATATTTAATTGCTTTTTGAATAGAAATATCAACTACGTATCACACGCCCATGCATGCCAGATAGGTCAGAAAGACCAGCTGCTGTAGCATCAATACGAACATTGCTGATATGAAGCAATGATTTGTATGCCTGTCGTTGTACTGTTTATGAGATCGCTCATATGGTGGCATTCCAGAAGGCGTTACACATCACATTCTGACCAAGTGCTTAAAATTAAAGAAGCTTTGTGTCCGATTAACTCTTCTTTCGACTTTGACATGTGCTCAAATATATTAAAAACGTGCGGTAAAGGCTGCTCAAAAACACTGAGTTACTTACAGGGGATGAGGGTCTATTACTTTGAACCCAAGAGGCGCAAAATCAAGTAAGGCCAGTGAGACGTATAAAAAGCGTCAAGAAAGTTTTGTATGCCCTTTTTTCAGTTCTAGTGGGCATTGGGTTCAGAAACCGTGCAAGGAAGGGGAAAACATCTATGAAATCATCTTAAAATCTTACTATTGCAGAAACCCCGTTTCATTGCATATCAATCAAACTTCATGAAACTTAATTATTTTCGATTTTCTACAGTACATGAAACAAGCAACAATAGTAATATTTTATACTGAATATTAGAATAAAATTAATATACATGTAACAGCATTTCAGATGCAAAAACAACCATTAGAATTCTTTCTTGGCAGCTCTTTTATAGACATGGCGTAATGTCCTAGTACGTATCAGTCAATATAATATGTTGAAATGAAATAACATAATTCTACATATGTACCTCCAATCGTTGTTAATTACGAAGCAAAGAAGAACAATATAAAATCAATTCTTTTCTAAAACGAATATTGTCCATATGTTTATTTCATCCTTAAAAATATAGAAGTTAATTATAATATGTATAAAACGATACTTACAGACTTGGAAATCGTGTCCGTAGTCTACTCCATTAGTGTGTGTGTAAGACCAGTCACACAGCCGGTGTCTCCCTTCTATGGTGCTTTACGCCTGTCCGCAATCTGTGGTCGATGTGGGTGTGTCGCGCGCGTAAAGCAATTCCCATTTCCGTGACACGCCCCCGTACAACAAAATAGTTTGGGCAAAACTGTAATATACAAACGTTTACCGTCTGATAAAATTGAATATCGGTTACGATATCAACTTTTAGTGTGTTCCTAATATTTATTTAAACCAAGCATCATTAATATGTGTATTGTGCCATTTTGTAATATAACTCCTTACTTATTAAGTTTTAAATACAACTTCATGAGAAATGGCGGCCGTAAACGCACATACGGATTGTGTCTGAATATCATATCGTCATAAACAGCTTTGATGTAGCGCAAAAGTGAAATTAATACAGCTGCAAAACGCACAATGAACATTCATTGCGTATATATGTATAATTATTGAAAATATATAAAATTTCGATTATAATGCAAAATTACAGATGACATTCTTGATGACGTGAAAAAACCCTGACATTTAACAATTTGACGTACACATATGCATGTATTTGCGGCAAGTTATTGCCAGCATTGGCTATTATATTACTAAGTAGACAGTACCTGTCAAACGTAAGTAGATCTAAATCCGGGCAAGTAACAAACTGACACTAACAAGTACTCTAGAATACATAAAGCCTTATAACTTTGTTTATTGCATCCAACACATTTCCTACTTAATTACTGTTTCAAACATTGTATATATATACATACATGTATGTTGGAGAATTCATTGTTTAACAAACAAGCGTAGAGCATATGTCAGTTATGAGGGACAAGTCGTTGTACCGACAAACTCGTTATACTGCCGAAATGTCCTTGAACGGGAGATGGTGGTTTATCAGGGTTATACTGCATTGAATATTGCAACGTATGGCACGCCACATAAGCCTGTATAACCACTTTTGAAAAGAACGAATGGAAATATGTGTACAGTTTTCTGAAATCAACAAAACCAATTATCAGCGGGAGATTGATTTATAGATCACGGTCTGTTGGGTTACTGGGAAATTCTTTTGGTTTGGTCCGATGCAATCATGTTGGTAAACATTCCCGACTTTCAGTGACAAACATCTCTAGCAGACGACCAATGTCGTTGGCTGTCACAAGTACCTCTAAGCTTTAAGAGTTATTAATTCTCTCCTTTTGACAGCTTCCTTCCCCTTAAATCATTACGGAACAGTAAGGCAATTCGACAGCTGTTAAATTACAAAGCAAATTGCCAAAAACTTCCAAACGGCAAAGAACTATTGACATCCTCGGAATGGAATTATTCAATAAACTTTCGCATTAGCATCTACACAACCAAACAGCTGGTAGCAATGGTTTCCTGTTCGCTCCGTACTCCACGACTCATCGCAGTTAATATGTAATGTGGTCATTTAA